GTGTGGTTTAACTGTGATTTTTAGACCACCTGTATAAACCTTAACAGCCAAGACTGAAGTGACAAAGCTTATCAATCCAACACACAATCTAAACCAGACAAACCCAAATAGCCAAAATTATTGATTAGACCATTGGTTTACTTAAGCTTAAAGATTCTTTAACCATTACTAAAGATACATCTTCCCCTAACTTCAGTGAGAAATCCGATTATTTAAGTCAACGGTGACTGTGGAGCTTATGGGCGGTCATAAGCGCATTCGCCTGCTTGCAGGGTCCGAGCTAATTGGATTTATGTGCGGGAATGTTTTCCAAAGCCACACTTGTGAAATACCTCCACATCTGCTGGCCATTAGCAGTGGACATAACACACAACAGAGAGAGGAAAGCCCCCAACGCCTTGATTCATTGGACTGCAGCTCTGCTTTTATTGCAGCGGAGTAAAAGGGCTGCAGCTTTTCAGCACAGCGAGTGCTGCCTTATCTCTCTCTCTGTCTTTCCCTCCCCTGTTCTCGATTTAATTGTATCTGCTTTGGTCATTCAATGCTTCACTATGTATTTCCCTGACCTTTAATGAATTTCCTATCCTTCCGCAGTTGTTTTACTCTTTCTTCTGTCTCATTCAGTCTCAACTTTAAACTTTTCCTTGAACGTATTTTTTGTTCCTGAACTCCATCAAACATCCTATCTTGTCATCCGCTCCCCCCCACCCCCCAGCTTCCCCACTCTTTGCGCTCCTGTGCCCAGTTCTCCAACAGTCATTTATCTATGTCAGTACAACTTCCATGTCCGGATCTTTTTCCTTGTCACTCCCAAAGGCAAGGACGCCCTCCTGTTTCATCCCTCAGCGGGCACAAGGAGAAACAAGCAAGGGGGTCCGACAACCCTCTGACCCCTCATCTGTCATCTGCAAGAGGAAAAGCACCCTCCTAATTGGGGGGGGTTAAGCGTTGAGGGGTTGGGGCGGTGGGTATGGACGTTGTTATTCTAGTGTTGGGGGGGTCAGAGGTGAAAAGGGGGAGATCACACCGGTGATTAGCCTCCTTCATGTGTTGGAATGTGTTGGTTGGGCAGCTGGGGTGTAAAGTAATTAGAAGAAAAGGGGTAAGGAACTGCCTATTGGATGGTGTTAATGATATTGCCCTAGGTCAAGGCATGGACACCTGGACCCCCATCAGGTGACTCCAGGTAAAAAAAAAAAAATTAAGAAAACAAAAAAATGTGGATAATATGCAGGCCCGGGACTGCATTACCACTGATAGTTCTGTTTTTGCTTAACATACATTCACATTACTGCTCTTAATTTATATATTTGAAGCTGCCAGCTGGATAAGCACACAGCTGTGTGTAAACATGTTTAAGAATCACACATTTTGGCACAGTGCTGTAAGAAGCAAGTCAACTCAGGCTTTATTCTGTGTGTGTTGGCAGGTCCTGGCCCTTTGGAACTAAAGATCTCCAAAAGCTCTAATCTCTGACTGATGATGTACATACCCATCTCTCTGGGTCTCTCTTCTCTGCCTCCTCACTTCCCCTGTCCACACCTCTTTACATGGCTCAGCAGGCCATGAAATAAGTGTGTGTTTATGTGGGAAAGAGGAAAGGCAAGAGCTAAAAGGAAAGGAGCATTTATGTGGTGGTTTCCAGCTAAACACATCAAAAGCGAAAAGGCAAGCCAAGGAGAGAAACCCATTACTAAACATGTTTTACTTTCTTTTTTTTTTTGGTTTTGAATGCCCATCCTTCCTTTGTCTAATGAAGCAATTTTGTTAAATGTCATCCAAAAATACCTGTAAATTATCTGGAACTGAAGTAAGAAGCCGTTTGTGTTTGCACAAAAACCAGAATCTATTGTTGGCTTTGAACAGGGGCACCGTAAGGGGGTGAAAAGTTAGGACGATTCTAAGGGCCCGTGACTGACAGGGGCCAAACTATTTTAGAACATCAAGAAAAAAATGTTTAAGTAACCAATGTGATTATCTTTTCATGGGGCCCAAAATCCCTGGCTGTGAAACAATGTCAATCACACTAATATGATCTCAAACCAGTGTTGATATAAAGTTGCTCATCAGTCTTGTAAATCATAAGGCTACCAAAAGTCCCATGCTACAAATAACAATGCTGCAGAATGACTAATGTTTTTGGAATCCTCAGCAATAGGCTCGAGGCTTTGAGTGAAACTAAATAAATCATTGAAGTAATTGCTCACATTGCTTTGGATTGTTGTTGAAAGAGCACTCCCACTTCCAACATGTTCTCCCTTGCTGCATAATCAAATGTCAAACCTAACTTATTTACCTGATGCTTGTTATGCACATGGGATGCAGCTATTTCAAAGGGTACCAATACAAAGACATTTGCTCCCAGTCGGATTTTCTGAGCGTCTGGATTTCCTCTTTGCACTGACACTGATTGACGTTTCTGGCGTGATACGGTGTGTACGGTGTGCAGTGCACCGCCGTGCCTGCTGCCAAGGCCTACAGCCGCTGAGCACACACACACCTCTACACCTGCTGGTACTTTCCTATGCACACACGCACACACACGCACACACACACACACACACACACACACACACACACACACACACACACACAGAGAAAGGGAGAAAAAAGGGACCAAAGAAAAATTGAATGACCTGCACGCGTCTTAATGAGGGAGGGCCGGGCGTCTGGCATTTACCTCAAACCATTTCTTCCCCCTGCTGCTCTCTCTCTGGAGGGCTTTAAGTCCGCCGCCCGTTAACGGCTAAAGTGTGGATTTCCTGTCAAATAAGGGTTAGGGCCCAACAAAAGTCCTGTTCGCTGGTACCTAAATAGGATTACTTCCAGCTGCCCCATCTAAACACACACACAAACACAAAAACCTAATGTCTTATATAGTCCCTTTAGGGATTTAAACCTGGTCTGCGGTGCTTAATTTTGCCTTTATAGTGACATTAATGTACCTTTATGGATCTTTTAAACTCCAATTATCTTTGTAACATGTATATGGTAAAGATATATTGGACTTTATAAACTTGCATGCATTGCAGTAGCGTGTGAGATATATCCAGTAGTATCCTTGAATAGTTATTTAAACCTGCTGTTCTTAGATTTTGTGTTCCTGGTCAAATTTAACCGGTCTCTTTTACCTGCTCTTACATTAACACAAAAACCATTAATCGTCACTACATTTTAGTTAACACCCCTTTCTTTTGAATAGGTTACAGTTTCGCCGTTATGTAATAGATGTCTATGTTTGTTTTGCAGAAATATCTTCTGAAATGAGCTCCACCAGCCTGTGGTTTATGATGACTAGATTCAAGTTGCTGCAGCAACTGACATAATGTAAGTACCACAAACAAACACATGGCTAATTTAAACCATGGGCTGACTCCACATTTTAAGGTAGTGTTATTTTGGCTCACAGAGTTTCATAAGTTTGGTCTAATTTAGCAAAGTGCGTTATGGGATAACTGATGATATCTAGACTATATGATTCCAATAGTAGAGATGAAATCCTGCCCCCAACTTATTTTGAGAACATTGCTACCGGTTCTCATCTAAGCCGTGAAAAGAATCTTGGCACTGTGTTATCCTTACCTTCTTTTGTGGTGACTGTTTGAACCGCGGCGCAAATATTCCCTCGGTTCCTGAAGGTAATTTGTCATCATTGTCATGACGTGGCTTTCATGAGAACAGCTGACCCTTTGTGTCTTTAATCACGGTTTATACAAAGAGGTTGTCTTATGATGTTGCAAAAACTGTAGCCCTGAATCAGTACATCAGGTGTTTGTAATTTGTCTTTTTATTCAGCAAATTAATCATAAATTAACAGACTGAGAATTAAAAAAAAATGCATCAAATATATAGTCAACAGCTTTCATTATAATGAAATAATAACTGTGTCATCAGGATTAGGTACAGTTTTGCTGATGGATACTTCAGGCTCTTTTCTGCTTGACGTTATACTGTATGCTTTTGCACTTTGTCTGTTACAGTATAAGGTATTTTGCAACTGGTTAATCCTTTGAGGATGCAATCACTACTTGGAGCCAAATGTTCTCTGGCACACACAAAGAGTTTCCCATCTGCCTTTTCAGTTGAAGCCGAAGTGAGGCGGATGAGGAGAGACAGATATTTTTTTTAAGAACCTGTTTGATGACCTGCAGCCCTAAGCAAGGTACATTATATTTGTTATGGCCACCACTAGTTTCCATCAGTTCATTTTCCTAATTCTAATATTGAGTTAAACATAACCACCTGTTGCTATAAGATCAACGTGTGAGGTATAACTTTCTAAAACACACCATAAAGACTTTATTAGTTGACCTTAATATTGGTAATTAAATCAACACTTCATGACAATGTTAAAGGGCTTGCTTGACATATTAAGGATACATTATAATAAAGTTCTCTTCAAACCGGTCTATCAAGCCAGAATACAGTATGACTTGCAAATGAGAAATGTTACTTCTCACCTTTTTCTATTTTATGTATGCTGATAGAGATTAAAAAAATTTTTTTTTGACTTTTGCAGGATTTGAAATAAAATGTGTTTTCTTTACAGATTACTTATTTGTTTCTCTAAAACAAATATGTCTGGCTTTCCTGATAACATGTACAAATGTTGTCAAATATTAGTAAAAAGTTAAAAAAAAGCAAGAGAATATTATATGAACTCAAAATAAAGTTCCCATGTTCACAAAGAAGCGACATGTCATTGGTTAAAACAATTATATTACAACATATAAATAAACTCTCTAAGACTTTGGATACACCGGCTATATTTTTTGTGTAACTTGCATTAATTCGTGTGTTATTTCTGGGATTTTTTTACAATGTGAAAAATATACTATCATCAGACTGACGTGTACAACATCTGGCTTGTGAATCATATCCGGTTTTATTTTGAAAATAACATCCGGAAGTAGCCCTATTTATTCCCCAGCACTTGACAGGGGTGAGAAGAGCCGCTGATAGAGAGGAGCACAAAGTCAAGTAAAAGGGGGTTGAACCGAGGACGTGCGGTTTCTTGCAAAAGTGGCATCTGTGTGAGGAAGGCAAGTCTTCTGCTGTACACCAGGCACTCTGGACTCCACAGAGCCGACCCTGTCGCTCATTATATCCGGAATTTATCCTGCTTTCAAGCTCCTAACCATGAGGATAAACGTTTGGATTTACCAAGCTGTGGCGTGTGTTGTGGCCACTATATTGGATACAGGTAAGAGATGTGCTTCAGATTTAGAGCATGTGCAAGAGCAATGACATTTATTTTAAACTCATGTAAAAAAATCTAATCTTTCTTTTCTGCATATGCATTAAAGTGAGACATATTGAGAATACAATTCTGAAAATTAAAGTTTTAAAATGTGCCAAACATCTTTTTTGGCTGTCAGTACTAGACTTTATGTAGCAAATAAACTTCATTTCCTTTTGTCTAATCCGTTTTTAATTAAAGACTTTTAGTGACATTTGCATACAAGTTTATCACAAGCCCTCACTTGCAATGTTGATTTGACTCGCCCTGTTTCATAAATGACTGTGTCTGTTAAATGAACTGTGTGAACCCCTATGGCTATATTCTTTATTTTTAACTTGGAGAAAAACTATATATGTACAGTCCATATTCTGTAATACCTTCATATAATGACTGTCTTGTAGAATAAAACTTAAAATGAAATATCTCAGCAGCACATCAAACCTATCCTCCCCATTATTTCAATTTATTTGGATCTAATAGCAAGTTTGAAAAATCTAAATGTCAAATATGATTAATGCATTTAATATGTTTTTGTGTAGATTAATAATATTGAAGTGAATTATGACAAGTTCACTTCTGTGGAAATGCAGCTGCCTTGAGGTAGAAAGCCGTGCCAAACAGCTTGGTTTGATACGCATTATTTCACTGATTTTTCATAAAATAAAGTTTTGGTAATTTGCGTAATAGACCATGCTGCATCACTTGGATCGACTCCACTTCAGTGACCAATATGACGCGTTGAATGTGTTAAATGTTGCACCGCAGCGCAACTTTGGCGCACACACTCGGCCAAGCCTCATTAAACGCGTCCAAACGAGCTCCGTGCCGCTCCTTTATCAAGCGCAGATTTGCGGATAGTTACTGTCTTGGTTTACATCCGCCGCGCTGACAAGTCACTGAGCAAAGCACTGAATCCAGAGTCACCACCTCCAGGGGTGCCGACCCTGACCTCCCTGGAGTTGGGGAAAGTAAAACATGCGCGCTCTGGCCCGAGGTATTCGTGCGCTTGTCCCGGTAGAGATATAGAATAGGGGTGTGTGTGGTGCATGTGTGTGTGAGGGAGAGGTGGTGGGAGGTGGGGGGGTGGCTAACATCTGGCTGTTGAGCCCAACTCCACATTTTGCGCTCTCTGAAGCAGATGTAATGTCTGCTTAATTCCCAGACTGAGTCACACCTTTAACCTGCTACTTTCCTGTTGTTCATAATCATATTCTTTCTTCAACTCTACCTATACCCTTTGTGAATATCGACAGTGGCTCATTTGCAGCATGTTTTCAGGGAAAGCCGGACTAAAATACTTATCCAGCTGACACTTAAGTTCTTCGCTCAAGGGCACCCAAGTGGAGGTTCCTGAGGAAGGTCAGAGTGCCGGTCATTGGCCACATTTTTCAAGCTGAACTAGGGGACTCAAACGTGTCCCTGTAAGCTACGGCTGCCTCTTCTCATTAAATATCACCTCTCTCACACTTGCCTATTGAGCACGTTTTATTATAATCTCCAACCTCAGCGAATGGTTGGGATTTGGAGATAGCAGGAGTCTGACTGCAAGGAGAGGAAGAGACTAAGTGAAATCTAATTGAGCAGCCTGGCCAGACATCAGGGCTGGAACAACACTGTGATGAGTGCCAGATGTGGTCCAGTGGAGCCTAAACATTAATAACAAGTCCTCCCCAAAAACCATTTTCAACCACGAGGAGCCTCTAAACGCTCCACAGTTTACAGTATCCTAAGTACACACACAACGTCTTGTGTCGGATCTTGGCACAGGAGCGTGGAGCTGTAACTCAGTAGCATGAGATTTTCCTGTGTGATTTATATCGCACTTGCCCCTAATTATAAACGGGAAACTATTGTAACTTAACACATAATGCATTTTAAGATGTGGCCCTCATGAACAGCATTTACAGTAGAGCTTTATTCTTCTGATGGATTGGCTCATAATCTTTTCCAGTAGGTAGAAATGAATGATTTGCGTCACAGAGGATTTGGACTAAAAATATGGTTTTGTCCTGCTTGTGACCCCGTTTGGATCTCATATACAGTATAGTATGTCTTGCAATGTTAGAATTGTACTTTGATACATGTTTTCCAAATCAAAGACTCTCAACAATGTCCTATAACTAAAAATAATTCATGATAGTGTGTCCTTTCTCCAACTTTGGCAGTTTTCCATTTTTCCACATACTGTATATTTTCTGTGCTTTGGATGACAATAACTGAGACACTATGAAACATATACATAAAACTTAATTACTTTTTAGAAATGTTAAGTGACACCAAAGCTTACTGCATTTTGTTTTGCTCCCAACAAAAATAAATGCCAGCCTTATTGCTCAAAATGAAAAGGAATTAACCAAAACGTCACTGTAATTAAACAGCAGGAGTTGCAGTCAGACGTTCGTGACTAAAAGGGTCATGCACGTAAGTTATTGTGGGAATTAATCTTGTTTAATAACTTTAAACTGTAACATAACAAATTCCATGAGATAATAACATGTTGTGGATTTGTGGCTCGGTTTAAAAGCATTAAAATATAAGATATTGTTTCATGAGCATTCAATCTCCTACTGAGTCACTTAGGCACTTTCAAACCATCAGCCAGTTGGAAGGACATCATTTGTTCTCTTGGCTGTTTTAACAGTTCAGCATCCACTCTGTTCCAGGCTGGATCCAGGCAGCAATCCCTTTTCTGAAACAAGAGTACTGGGGAGCCTTTTGAGCTGGGTTTTGATCCTGGACGCACTTCACTAGCACAACGATGTTTCAGTATAATTCAGCAGGACGGATGCTTAAATACCAAGAACATGGTGCTGTAAAGCAAAACGTAGTTGAAGGGTGCTTTCAGGAATACATGGTCAACCAGTTAAATATATGGCAGTTAAATAATTTCATTTTCTTCATGCCAAGACTCTTCTTGATGCCGTTGTTCAGATAGTCTAGTCACCTTGACGAAACTCAGGGAAATATGCTCATTTTGACAAGTTCCTCACTAAGTATATCATATATCATTTATCAAAAATAAATACACATAAATGTAATTAATACACAAGCTTACCCTGGTTAGATCAATTAAAAAAAGATCACAGCATCACAGAGACAGCAGCTAACTTGTCCTCTGGGCGTATTAGATAAAAATAGTTCTGACAGAGCTGTCCACTGGCTAGATAAGTCCTTGAAAAACCACTCATTCTGCATTAAAATCACATGAGATACAAATGGTAGAGATGTGGAGGAAACCAATGTTTAAGACTTGCAAATACACATTATTGTACGAGGAGTTCCACTTCCTCCATTTGACTCTTTTCAGTAGATGCCGGTTTAATCCTACACACTGGATTACACACTACCTTGATGACATTGGTGGAAATCATGCGCCATACAGTAGACACCTTTTAGTCAGTTGTATGGCTCAAAAGTTGGTAATGTAAAGGCTTAAAAATACATTGTACATCAACAATATAGCACTACATCCATAAACATGTGGTTTAATTACCCTACTGACTTCCTTTGGCTTGATCATCTAAATATGTCTCCTGTTCTATTCTTTCCAATTATGTAATCCAAGTTGAAAGGTATCTTCAATTTAGTAACAGATGGTATCTCCCAATCAAAATGAACCTGGCTTTAGCAATTCTCAAACGAATCCAATGGCTGTACCAAAACATGCAGGTAACATGATGTGATCTTGTGTCCTTTCAGGTTTTTGTAAAAGGACTCATCAGTCGTTACAGAAGTATGAGAAGAGTGAAGGTCACATGCTGGTTTGCACAGACTGCCCTCAGCCCCCTTTGGTTAGAGGCAGCCGGTCGCTGGAAAACTGCGCCCGCAAGTGCAAGAAGGTCAAGACAAACTTCAACTGCAGGTCAGCTTCCTTTTACTCTCTATGTTTCCCTGAAATACGCCTGTGTTCCCCTCACTCCTCTCCCCCCCTGTGTTGACTCACTATTTACATATTTGTGTTGTTTATCAGTTGTTCATCTCCCAATTACTTCTCCCCGATGTTTCCACAGGGCTTTTAACTTTCAGCGGCACAACAGGAAATGCCACTTGCTTCCTTTTGACCGCTTCACGCATGGTGTGCAGACGCAAGCCAACATCAACTTTACTTTGTATGAAAAAAAAGGTAAATGGCATTAAATTGTGAGGCATAAATTATGTTTTTTTTCTCATGAGAACATTCAAGGGCCGACGGATTTAAACAGGCAAATTATTTGTAGGTTGATTGCGGGTTGTGCTTCTTGCGTCGGCTCCCGGCTCCCGGCTTTTTAAGGTCTTTAGTTTTTCTGTTGACACAATAAAAGCAACTAACCCACCTCAACCTCCTGCTGTTTAATCACTCCAGTGGAGAGAGCTGCACGACCCGTAGCAGACTTAAGTGGAGTGTAAACAAAAAAAGTCATTGTTTACACTTGGAACGCGAAGCCTTTCTCCGGTTAAGACTGTGGAATCTAGCACTCTTGAATTTACTGCAAAATGTACGGAAACTCCCCCCGGTGACATTTAATGAACTTCAGGGAGTTGTCTGTTTTTGGAATAACAAACAAGCTGGGACATACTAAAACGTTCGCTGTAAAAAAGTCTTATTGACCATACATGGGAAAATATATACCAGGTGTTCATAGCAGTGAACCACCTCGACTATTAAATGACTAAACGATGTATAAGTTTGCACACATAGTACACAGAGTACACAGAGGCAGCTTGTAAAATCGAGAACACGACTGTTGAAATGTTTTGAAATGCTTTTTTTCCCTTTGGTCTTACACAGATTATATAAGGGAATGTATCATCGGCACCAAGGACAACTACAGAGGGAGACGATCTTGGACAAAGTCAAACATCACTTGCCAAGCTTGGTCAGATAATAACATCAATGAACACACGTAAGTCTTCCCTTTTTTATCAAGACAAAGTACAAAGAGGAAATTGTTGTGGAAAAAGGGAGTATCCAAGAGAAGGAATGATAACAAACACTTGTATGATACCTTGAGAGTGCAGTGCCGTGCTTGAGGACACTTTTTAAGGAGTGCAAGGTGGTAATCATCCCCCCTGCCAGATTCCTGTGGATTTAAACCAACAGGCTTTAAAATCTGTTTCTTTAATCTTTAGGCTTCAGCCACCTTTCTGGATGTTCCTTCTCTATTTCTCTGTGTCTGATATTGAACAGGCCTCAGCAGCTGATTTATAGATGTTCAGATCATCCCCATCCACCTCTGGGGTTAAGGGAAGGCAGAGGCTCTGAGACGGATGAACGTTTAGCCAGGAATAAGTCAGATTTCTTTCAACACATGCAGGGATATCCTTCCATCGAGGTTGTTTTTCTGCTGCACTGCAGGCCATCAGGTGTATCCCGTTCTCTCTTGGCTTCAGTCATGGCAAGATTAGTGGATTTGTGACGATGGTGCTGTGCCAGCCTCTTATTAGTGGGGCTCATTAGTTACAAGATATTTTAATCGTGGCAAGGAGGGGTTTAAGAGACAGACTAATAAGGGTTTGAAGGAGTGCAGAGGGACACATAGACAAAAGGGAGACAATGAAAGAAAGAAAGCCAACATTTTATTGACTGGAGTCATGTTTTTTCTGTTTCCCAGCTGAGGCCATAAAACAACAGACATACTGAGAGAAAATAATAGTTCATTGATCCCCCACAATTAAAACACATGGCAGTGTTGATCGCTATCATCTCATCTGCTGTATTTCTCAGCTCCATTCACAGAAGCAGCTCGACACATTGGGAATCCTTTGTCAATTGTTTATTTGACACACGTTAACAGTCCATGTACCAGATGGCAAATGTTACATTGCCCTGGCTTGTCAGCAACCATAGGGTCAAAGGGAGCTTTCCTTGAGGCAGATTTAGTGCCACTGTGAGGTTACCTAACATGGGACTGTCCCGCTGTTTGAGAATGACCACCGTAATGAACCACGCACCATTGGCGCTTCAGGTAACTATTATTTTCATGCTTGACCGATCACCGTGGGGCAGGGGTGATTTCTCAGGAGGTTCCCTTTCACGAATGGGACTTCCGCCTGTTGTCTATATTTAGTCTTTGAACCAAGGCTATGGATGAAGCATGTACTGTAGGCTACTGATGCCCAGTCAAGCAGAGAGAATGGAATGGAACATTTTGGTTCAATAATAGATAACATTGCAATCATTTATTTATTCCCATAGGGACATTTGTTTTTCTACACATTTCTACAGGGAGGTCAGCAAGCACGCTCAGCTACAGAAACACACAGCCTCTTGCAAACAAAAGATTGATAGGCTACTACTCTCATGTCTGTAGAGCAACAATTAAGCAAGTTAACTTAGCTTAGCAAACATACCTGAAACAGGGGGAAACAGCTAAGGCTTTTCCAATTGCAACATGTTATTTGTAGGCATTAGAGTTGCAGGTAGGCAGAGTTTTTTAATGCTTTTGGCAGAGTTACTGTAGCTGTTTCCATTCTGAACTGAATTGAACTTAGCTAGGCGCTAAGCTAATTGTCTCCTAACTGTTGCATCATAGCTAACAGATATATATGACAGTGCTAATTCCTTTCTTGTCCGCTATACAAACCAAACAAAAGTGAATTAGCACATTTCCAAAAATGTAAAAACGTTCAGGACAATTATTATTTTGGATGCTGTAGCATTGAAGCATGACTATCTTTGTTCCAGGTGCATGTGGCTACACATTTTGCACGCAGCAGTTACTTCAGAACTAGATTTCTTCTTTAGTGATATACAAAATCTAGCCAATATGTTTTCCTGGCCCAGAGAGGGAAGCATGTGTGTCTGCGCTCCGGTGGGAACAGACCTTGGCAGGGAGATGAATAACTGGCCAACATCTGTTAGTGTAACATCATTATGGCTAACTTGCTTCCATGCAGCGGCATTTACGGACTCTCACCAGATGCAACCTTTTTTTGTGAGTGAGGTACCTTGTAATCCCATTTATAAATTAAGGATAGTGTATTATAATAGGAATATACTGAATAACACACAACAGATGTGAGTTTTGGCACTTTTCTGTTGTAGATACAGCAAGTGAAATATTGCTGTTAGACTTAACCCTTTTGTATTTCTCTTTGTTTGGGACTAGGGTCTCTAGCTAGATGCCTGAGATTTCTTGTAGTTCTGGGTTGAATTATGTTGTGCATTAGTGTTGAATCCTTGCGTAAGCCCCAGGGCACGGAGGGGAGAGCAGAGCCGTCTCCCCCTAGAAAACAGTCATTGTCTGGGTTGGTGTGTTCAGAGAAGCTGCTGAAGGGTGGGTGGACTTATCATTCTTTCCCTTTCCTGCACATTTTGTTTCTTTTTACATCATCAATTAGACAATGAATCTCGTCTTTATACTCCATTCAGCTCATGTTTCCTTTAGCTGAAGTCAATCTCTTCCCAGTTCCCTTCCACCCTTCTTCTACGACCTTAACTGTTTCTGCTGTCTTCCCTCTCTGTCTTCCTTGGTGGTATGGGGAAATGTGGTCGGCATGGATCAAGAGGTGCTGACAAGCCAGCTTTTCATCATCCTGCCATGTCATTAGACACATTTTACACACTGTCCATTTAGTATGGGGGTCCCATGCGGCCGCTCGTTGTTACATCCCATATGTTGCAGGCCAGGTTCTTTTTCTTACATTGGCCTGTTCACACTGACGCGAGGTTGCAGGTGACAGAGAGGAATTAGGTTTAAACGTGTTCAAAGGCTGCCAGCAAAAGAGCTGCTTGGTCTGTTCCAAGTGGTTCGTGGCGTTGTTCTGTGCTGTTGGTTGTTACTGTGCTGTGACGGAATCTGGCTGCTTCACACATGATGGAGCTGGGATATGGTAGGAATCGGTAATGCGATCATGCAAAAGGTGCAAACCTGGGGAGCTATCGATGACATATTTTGCATACGATTTATGTGTCTAGTCATTCTAGAATTGTAAAAGTAACCCGATCACCCTGTAGGCACTAGCGTTTCTCAGAATGAAGCTTATATGTTAATGCATATGCCTTTTGAATTCATTTGGGCTGTTACTGAGAGCACTTGCAGGCAGGTACGGTGATGTATACACCACTGGAGCAGCCAAGTGTGCAAGTACTCCCTGAAATGTATTTATACAGCTTACAGTATCAGTAACATAGTCAATAATTTATGTCTACTCCCCTGTAGGTTTTCTCCTGATAGGTACCCAACGCAAGACCTGAGGGAGAACTTTTGTCGGAATCCCAACAACGATCCCGGTGGTCCGTGGTGCTACACTACAGATCCCAACGTACGAGCCGAGGAGTGTGGCCTGCCACAGTGTTCACAAGGTAAGACAAAAATATCTCTCCAATAAAATGTGTCCAAAATAACGCAGAATCATGTTAGGGAGTTACTGTCATGTTCCTTTCCAGAGGTGTTGAAACATTTAATTAATGTTTCTATAATTTATTTTCTAGAGCAGCAACGATTGGTCTCGTATACACTGTAGAGTTTTATTGTTTTTTTGTGTTTTTTTATTTCATAACTGAATATTTTTGCGTTCTGGACTGACTAAAGTACTTATAAAGATTGTTCTATGGGAAACCAGGATGGACATTTTTCACTTTTTCCCGACTCTTTATACATTAAGTGATTTATTGAGAAGATAATCTGAAGATTACAGTTAGCTGGAGCCTTGTTTCCTTCTTGAAGTCTTGAATTATGTGTATTCATTACTAGAAGGAAGAGTTATTTAATAAATGTTGTATTTTTTGACAACAGAAGTCTGTATTACGTGCAATGGTGAAGATTACCGGGGAAAAATGGACCAAACAGAGAGTGGCAAGGAGTGCCAGAGATGGGACTCAACAAGGCCTCACAAACACCACTTCCAACCCAAAAGGTAAGCTGCAAAGCTGGTAATCCTGCTGAAAAACCCTTCTCACGGACAATGCTGCACACACCCATGACAGATGCTTAAATAACTAACGCTAATACTCAGGAGAGGTAGACCTCACCAGTTGTTATGACTTACGTCTTTCCCTCCAACATTATTTTCTTTCCTCGCTGTATCCACTCTGTCTCCTCTCTCAGGTATCGACAGAAAGATTTAAAGGACAACTACTGCCGTAACCCAGATAATCGCCTTCGTCCCTGGTGCTACACGGTGGATCCTAAAACTCCGTGGGAGTACTGCGACATCTCTGTGTGTGGTAAGGGCCTACGTACTGTATATACTCCTGGGGCTTCGGTTTTGTAGACAAAGTCATCAACTAAAGACCAAATTATTGTTTAACTGATTTATGACTCAGTTGCTAGTTTTTTCTCAGTCTAGTACCGTCACAAACTCATTGTTACATATACATCATAGGGTTCATAAGTGAACGGGGCATTTGGATCTTGTTTTTTTAGGACAGACAGACAGAATGCAATTGAGTTCTACCAGCTTGTGGGTTGGGGGCGCCAGGAGGTTTAATACATACAGGACTTTGGTGGTTGTGGTGAGAAAGTAATAACATCCCTTTTCTCTCCTGCCGAGTCCCATAATGCTTTTGTTTACCCGGCAGAGTGTTTCATGTGGCACTTGGCTTCAAATTCTTTCACCTCAACAAGGAAGAGTTGTTTGTTAAGGGGGAGGTCTGACTTCAGAGAGCCAGAAGTGTTTGACCGAGACCACTGATGGATCACAAAGAGCTGTAATATGGAAAGTCACAATGGAGGCTATTATACAGGGATGCGTCACATGGCCATCAGAAGGCCTCATAAATGTTTTGGTGGTTTGAAGATTATCGATAAAAAGAAAATTAGAGTGGAGGAACAGTTTCCATGCAGATGCTGCCATGCATTACCAGAAACAAATGGTCACTGAATGGTTTGATTTAAGTGATGTGAAATATATTGTGGCCAGATATCAATGACCTGTGGAAGCTTTTGGATTGACACCATAGTCAAAACATTTGTGAGACATCTTGCTTGTGTTACTCAGAGAACCGGGGTTACATCAGCATCCTGAAGTTATTTTACTTTAGAGTAATCGCCAAACTTTGTCCCGTTCCAGCCTTTTTTCTCTATTTTACATCAGTGTCAATGGACTGTCTTTCGATCTAGAATTAAAACAATACATGTGAAGACTATTCACGATCACAACCAAACAACTAAGTGGTTGTCCATAAAAAGTTGCAAAATGATCAATCAAATCAATTATTTGAACATTTTTCTATTTTAAATACTGCCCTATTGTATTTGTTATGGCTGTATGTAAACACTTTTTGTCGTATGTTGAACTTGAGTCACCTCCCTTGACTTATTTCACATTTGGCAGTGTCTGTAATTGAGATAACTTTTGCCTTTTATAAGTCATACACAAATACAGAGGGAAAGAGAAAAGAATGGATGCCAAAAAGAGAATACCGACTGGAGAAATTATAATTTTTTCCTTTGAAAGAACATGGAAATATTCCTGCATGCTCACCCACAAACACGCAGAGCATCTCTTTTTGTCTCTGTTACACACATACACACATTGACTTTACAGTACATGGTGTGATTTACAGCGAAGGCAGCTGGATCTGCATTTATCCAGATGTGTGCATCCCTCAATGCCTGCCCCCAGAAAGATAAAAACCAATGACCTGTAGTACGCCGCGCACACAGACAGTGGCATGCATTACATCAAGCCAAGGAATCCCTCTTCTCCATCAGCCTTCTCGTTCCTGCCTTTCATTCCCCTTTCCTCCTCCATCTTCTCCCATCTCATTTGTCAAAGGCTAAAGAAACAGAGACAGTAATCCAGAGGGGAGAAGTTGCTCCCCATGTACTGCTATCCCTGCAATGCCGAAAAGCAGAATTCCATCTGAGGATGTTTAGAATAGTTTTCTGGTGGATAAAGTTGCCCCAGCCAGAGCGGGTTGGCTGTGAAATCTTTGGTTGGGCTGCAATACACCATTTCACTAACATTGTTTAATGTTGAGGCAAAGATATATTCGTTATGATCACGTTCCAAGTTTTTCTTACAAAGATCTCTGACATATTGGGTGAAATAACTTCATATTGTTGTTGATGTCCCTACGTGCAAGAATGTGGGGCACCCATGTTATGAATACACAGAAAGTTCCTATCGCAGTTGAGGTAAGGGGGGAGTGCTACTGTTTTTGATCATCTGTCTCTAGGTTAAACATGACACATTCTTCTGGGGATTAATATCTCCCTCCCTCTCTCCCTCTCTCCCTCTCTCCTATCTTCAGTTTCTAAATCTCTTTAGCAACCTTCTTTCTCATGCTTACGCTCACAAATACAATTTCTATGTATTTTTCTGGCTAGATTCTGACTCAAGTGAGGACACAGATGTCAATGTAACAACATCCTGTGTCCAGGGAAAAGGAACAGATTACCGAGGCACAATGAATGTCACTCCAGAGGGTGTGACATGTCAGCGCTGGGACTCCCAGTCGCCCCATAACCACTCCTTTCTTCCCCAGAACTTCAAATGCAAGTGAGTAATGTTTAATTCATGGACTCTCAAAGCTTAAATTAACTTTTTTCTGCCATGTGAAGGAGGAAGTTTATTCATTATTTGGATTTGACTTCAAAATAGGGATGAGCCTGATACATAAAAATGATAGCTTTGCAAACTAATTCAGCACCATCATTTAAATTGTAGTTTGTGTATGTGTTTTAGAGACCTCACAGAGAACTACTGCCGTAACCCTGATGGCGCCGATCACCCATGGTGCTTCACTACAGACCCCAATCAGAGGATAGCCAACTGCACCCACATCCCCAGGTGTGATGCTGAGGCCACACAAAAAATAGGTAACATTTTTGTATAACTTTTAACGAACAGTTCAACATTTGTCGAAATATGCTTATTCAGTTTTCTCCCAAGCTTTAGATGAGAAACATGTATACCAGTCCCATCTATGTATGGAAAATATGCAGCAGAGAGATTAGAAAAAGGGAAAAACTGCTTTCTACTAGTATTAAAGTTTACTAAGACATTTCTTTATTTTGTTTTATAGTTTCAATCTGGAAACAGAAATGAAAAACAGGGGTTTTATAGGGAGCTGTGGGCTGTATCTATTTCTTGGCAAACAGTGAACATACATTAACAAGATTTGATGTGTTGTTTATTATTTTTTTATCGTTGCTGATTTCCACCTGTACTTAATCTGTATGTATAAAGCTAAGAAGACTGGGGTCTGTAGCTACATATACACGTTACAGTTATGACAGTGGTCTATATGTTACATACAGTATAAGTTAACAACCGCAGCTTTAAGAGTATCGTTGTTTTCCAAGCAGCATATTAAAAAAAAGTAATCATGTTGTTTCCTTGAATAATGTGATTTAACTACAAATGCTGCAAGCCATGTCATGTTTTTGCAAAGTGAAGTAAGACAGATGCTTTCCATATTGCTCCCGTAGGACTGGGCCACTTGGAAGCATGCTGCCCTATGAATTCCATTGCATGGAAGAACAAAAATATAATGCTGTACTTCGGCTCTCTTTCATCTCCCATGTTTCTCTGCTTTAAATTTACAGTCAGATGACTAAACGTGTAAAAACTGCAGCAAGTCTGTAAGTTGCCACAGGCCCACTTCTGATTTGGTTTAAACAAGTCTACCACCATTTTCAAAAGGGCCCTTGACATTAAATTCATCCAAACCCCATAGAGAAAGCCAAAAATCTGAACATGATTATGTTATTTTTGCATCAATGAGAAAGACAGCCACCACTTATGTGATGTGTGTAGTTCTTAGAGTATTGCTCACTCACTGATTAGATTTAAGTGTTTGGGAAACTGCTAGGCTAAGTATTTGTATGCTCTCCTGGGAACTTTGAAAAAGATTGTCTAAATAATAATATCCGTTTCTTTATCAGAGTGTTATGAAAGCGGAGAGACGTACCGGGGCACGTTATCCATAACTCGATCGGGGATTCCCTGTGCAGACTGGTCACATCACATAAACAGGTAAGAAATTATTTTGCATCAAAGCTTCTTCCCTTAACTCCCATTCAAGCTTTAGTTTTACCGGGAAACACTGGATATGTTTCTTAGAGAAGCTGACAAACTCTTCAGTTTAGTTGAGTGTTTGTTATGGGCTCAGCTCCCATTGCCTTGTGAAAATCCCTTTCATATGCATGAAGCTCAGCAGTGAAAACAAACAGCAAGAGGAAATCAGAGGTTCCTCAGGGGTCAATACCAAGACCAATTATTATTCATCTAACTGACAAGAGGAAACCCTGGGGTGCTCTCCAAGTGACCCATCCTGACGGAAAGGTTGCCCACTCCGGGGTTGTTGCTTCATGCTTAAGTCAGGCTGTTGGAATTACTTAATTTACAGGAATTTTAAAAGCCAAAATGGCACAGACAGATGGACATGTTCCAGAACAGACCCCTGACCCCAGGAAGTGCTTTCTGAGGAAAGTAGATCAAAGCCAATCAGCTCCCTCGCATAGTCTGCAGCCAGCGAGTCTACCCTGCTCAAGGTCAAGGGTCATCCAAGGAAAAACTGCTGAACGCTACAGCTTGTTTAACAATCTCCTGGGAAGTAGAATTATCTTCACCTCCTGACAAATTGCCGGCCATCGCTTAACATTATGTTTCTGTGTGTGTGTCCAAACTCCTAGCGAGTAATTGCTTCTCAGTGATATTTTGGATATCTGAGAAGATCCCATCTAAGTGAGGTTAAACATTGCATAAAGACACACAATTAAATGTGAATTCCTTCAAAGCGGATGGACAACGGAATCATTTCATAGAGGATGTGGCTCCTGCTGGTCTGAGCTCTGCTGCATGCTTAGAGTGCATACTTTCAAACTCCCATGAGTACTCTTCACAAAACTCTGTGTTTCCTTCTATGGGCTCTGTGTAGCGAATGCAGAGGATTCATTGCACTACAGGAAAGCTAGAGTCAGACTTTCCAGGCATACCATGGTTACTTACAGTGTGTATGCATTGTATGTGTGTGATGGTGCTTGTGATCCCCCATGTGTGCAGATGCTCTGTTTTTAGAGTGAAAGTGCGTATGAATCTTCATGAGACGTGGCTCAGTGTTGGTTGAATGTGTGCAGAATAACAAATGGAACATGAGAATCTGTATTTGTGTGTTTTACAGTGGGGATTCTCACTCTACAGAATCCCATGTAGGGCTGGAGAGGAATTACTGCCGGAACCCGGACCGGGACAAACATGGCCCCTGGTGTTACACTAATCCAAATAACCGTTTGGCCTGGGACTACTGCAAACTGAAGCACTGTGAGTGGCTTTAATATACCTAATCTCTTTAATGTATCTATAACATACATGAGTACATAGATACATCTGTGTTGTGTCAGCCATTAGCAGAGCCTTAGTTCACCATGGTAGAAATGACGTGAATTATTGTTGATGTTGTATAGGGCAATGTTTAAAATATCTAGTTGGTATTCCCTTAAGGGGTAGTTCAATTTTATAAAAATCCTGGCAAACAGTTCGGTAAAAGAATACCGATAGGCCTACCACTTTCATACCTGTATTGTAAATAGAGTGGCGAAGTCACGCCCACTTACTTCCGCATCATGGGACCTTATTCCGAAAAAATAATACATTGAAGTCAATGGAGAGAGAAAACTTGTGCCATGAATTACACATATGTTGTTTGTCAATCTTAAAAAATCATTTCCATGTCAAAAAATTTCCATGTCAAAAAATTCAAAATTTGTCTTAAAACTGTTGAAATATAAGACTATGAAAAATACGCAACTAGAAAGACTACAAATCCCAGAGTCGCGTAAGTGCTGTCATAACTGATGTATTCCCTCCAGATAGCTAAAAATACATTTACTTACTGTACTTACTTACTTTAACAAGATGCCTGTGTGCTTTGTACCGGGTTGTCATTATACCAGTAATAGTACCTCTTGCTCGTTCTCAACTAAAACAAAACACGAGAGTGTACCTTGTTAGCTAATGTTAGCTAGCTGACATTAACGTTACACATTACACTCGTGTTACTCACCGAAACCTTGTAAAGCCGGTCCCGCATGCTGGCTCTTACGGAACCGACTAACTCCCCTTTTTCGTATGTACAGCTCTCAACATACCCAGACTTGTAGTGATTTTCACCTCTTTTAATACTTTTCGCCTCATTCTAAAAGAAAGAAGTGAAATGTACCAACGTGACGGCCATCTTGGTGTTGTTGACGTGTGCAAGACCAGAGTTGTAGTTCATTGAGCGCTTCACACAAAGAAATGTGTAACTTCACAGTTTTACGACACATTTAAAAAATGTTGACTTACAAAATTATCTTTTAAATTGACAAACATCATATGTGTAATTCGTGGCACAATTCAAACGGGATCGAAAGATAATCTTTCTCTCCCCATTGACTTCAATACATTATTTTTCCGATATAAGGTCCCATGGAGGTCCACCGGAAGGGGAGGGACTTCGCCACTCTATATGCTGCCAGAGCCAGCAGCTGATTAGCATAGCTTAGCTCAAAAAACTTAAAACTGCTGGAAAACCACAACATTTAGTTTTTAAACTATTTGAAAGAATATACACAGAAGGCAGAACATAAATAAGTGTGCTTTTGAGGTGCTGGTAGAATAATTGTGCTATCTTTTTACAAAACATGGCTAGCTGTCTCCAAGCTTTGTGCTAAACTAAGCTAACAGAGTGCTAGCTAGCTATTTGCGTACAGACAGATGTATCTGGTATCATTCTTTTCTTTTAACTCTTGACAAAAAATAGAGAACATTTTCCAAAATGCTAAAGGTTCTTGTTAATAAAGAAGATATTTCAGAAGGAGCTTGGAAGCATTGTTAAAAAAATTATAGATGTGCCAAAACTGTGGTTTTGTCCAATTTGCAAGAGAATACACACTGCTTAAACATCAAACAGCTGCAGGTCTCTACTGCCATCTTTTTATTGGTGAAACACTCAGGAGGCTCGACACAACATTTTCTTTGGCTGGTTTCAATCTGGTCGCAATGAAGAGCCCCTTTCAAATGGCTGCAGAATAATTTACATAATGTAAAACATATCAATCGAGACCTTTTTTGAGGTCTTCAGCAAATGTATTTGCTGACGGTTATAGCCTCCAACAACTACCGGTACTCAGATTCAGAGTAAAGTAAAGAAGGATGTCTCTTTCAATTAGGTTTTACATTTGTATGTGTCAATGTATGGTCAGTGGTCTAAATAATGTCCTGCTGCTGTTGGTTCTCTTCTTACAGTTCTGCTTTTCTTTACATCTATCAGGTGAATCAGCCACAGTCTCTCCTCAACCCAACAGTAAGTATTGCTTTGACTTATCTGGCTCTTACCGGTCTAGTCCTCTTCCTCTGATCTCTAATCTTCATTTTGCATTTTTACTTCCTAAATCAAATCCGTCTGTTGTCATGTTCCTGACTAAACAAATCATATTTTATGGTTGCCTTTTGTTGTTGTCAAGGTAAATCATATATCCATCTAACATGCAGGATGAAATGTGTTCTTGTTCAGCTCCAACAGACACCAAGATATCATGCTTTGTGCATATAAACACCAGAATAGTTGGAGGACACCAAGTGCGGGGTACAGATGGCAGCTGGGTTGTAAGCATCCAAAGAGAGTAAGTCAATTTACATCTGTGCTTTTAAAACATTTGTCCCTTGTTATGCTCTTATACCTACTGTAATGGCAAAATTGTCTCATTTAAATTTCCTTAGGAAGGTTCATTTGTGCGGGGGCTCGTTGATCAGAGAAGATTGGGTTTTGACGGATCAACAGTGCTTCACCTCCTGGTAATACTCCACTAATGTATCTGTCTGACAAAATACTTCTCCTGTTAACCTCTTCCATTTGACCTTTCTCTCAAAATTGCTTCTTTTTTTCTTGCTGCGTTCCTTTTGAATACTGTAAAGATGCAGGATTATCCTGTTTACTAGTGCACTCCCTCCCAGACAAGCCTGACATGAGATATGGAGCAGAAATGTTTAACTTCTGTAGTTTTCTATGTCAGAGCCAGTCACATAATATGATATCTCTTCATCTGAAGTGCTGGCTTTGAGGAAATGTCCTTATCTGTATAGTTAGGTACAGTTCTGTATGTATTCCATATGGTATACATCAATGGCTTTAAGATGATAGTTTGAGAAACTTTTTTTTCTTTTAGATGTTGTCCATCTAAAACATATTGCATAAAGGATCATTTGAAAGTAATATACAGTATCTTTTTATATTTAAAATGTTTTCATGAAGAACTGAAAACAATGAATCGTTAATTGTGGGATTTTCTTGTTTAACGTGTTGCAAGTAATGTGTAATATTAAACATTTATTATAGTAAAATATCCCAACTTCATAGCTTTTTGCATCATCCTAAATGTCCACCTCTTTCAAACTCCACATTTTAAGCATGGTTTCTGGTGAAGTTTTACGTTTCAATACCAATTGCCGATATATATAAGAAACATTACTGTAGGTTTACGACTTACGTCGTGGTCCTTGTTGGCTTCAGTGTTCCAGATCTCAAGGATTACAGTGTGCAGGTTGGAGTGCGCCACCTCAACGAATCCTCCAACCACCCGGGACTACGCATCTCTCGCCTGATCTGTGGCCCGGAAGGATCCAACCTGGTTATGCTAAAACTAGAAGAGTAAGTTCTTAATTACTCACACTGAACATTTTTTAAATTAAAGTCGACATTTCATTGCACTTTCACCTATTTAAGATCCTAATGTTAGAGCATAACTGGTTATATGAACAACTTTTGAATCTATTGTATCTCTGATAATGTAACACGTTCACATACATTTTTAATGATCTAAGAAAATGTTCTTATTGGCTGAATGTGGTTCTTATTTATGTCCGTTTTTTTATTTTTTTTATAAATGAACTAATTATAATTATTATTTGTGTTGTAGTCCTGCCCCTGTGTCTGAAGGTGCCTCTACAATTCATCTTCCAGTGAAAGAGTGTCACATCCCTGAAGACACCAACTGCACCATGTATGGATGGGGGGAAACCAAAAGTACTGTCTTCTTTCCCACATTTGCCATGCCACCTTGCATTTGAACTCAGACAAAAATAATATTAGTAGGATTCAACAATCACACTGCGTATCCTTTTTTGTCCAGACACAGGATACGATGAGGCGCTGAACACTCTGACCATGCCCATGGTCAACAACGAAATGTGCTCACAAATCAAAGGGGACGCTGGAGAAAGCAGAATATGTGCCGGCGGCAAGAGAGGAGAAGGCGTATGTGATGTAAGCACAAAAACAACCCTGAATGCAACATTAAAGTATATAATACCAAAAAGGTGATTTTGCCCAATAAAAAGCCAGCATCTAGAGTTTTCACTGGAACTACTTTCTCTTGAAGAAATGAAAATAGTTGACATTGAAAACTGTAGATCATCTTGACTTTCCAATTTCCAACTGAGTTATTTCCATATTTCTCATTTCATTGTGGTGGCAACAGAGGCACATCTAAAAAGTGGCAAATGAAACCAGAAACCATTGAAGGTTGAATGGAAATGTGTTTGAACTCATATTTTAGGCCTTGTATCAGAGTTTGAGACATTGGAGTTTTGTATAAAGTCCTTCTTATCGTACTGTTTCTCTAATGCTTCATGCTTCACCCTTTTTTCTTGCAGAAAGACAATGGTGGTCCATTGGTTTGCCAGGAACATGAGCGTAAAGTGATAATTGGCGTGAGTATCCAAAGGACAAAATGTGCGTCATCGCAGCCTGCGCTCTTTGTTAACGTCGCTTTCTACTCTGAGTGGATATACAAAGTGTTCAAACTTTACCCCAGTTTGGAGAGGGACTGATAGTGTGGTGTGAAGATCAAAGACATGCAGGAATGGACCACGAGGAAGAAATAAGGAAAATCCCGGAATGGAAAGTGGCCGTTTTGGGATTTTGTGGCATCATTTTTCCTTTTAAGATGATGACAGCGATAGAAGACTGGATGAAGGAGATGGATTCTCATTTGTTCTTCCAATTTGCAAGAGAAGACATCCTGGCTTTATCATTTTGAAAAAAACAAAGTCTTGGGCACATGCACGGCAAACTATTTGTATTTTGACATGTTCAGAATTTCTGAAGCCATGCAAACAAAGACAATGAGAATGACCCTTGTGACTCAGTATTATCTCCTGGAATATACTTGAATATGGACAGAACCCAGATGTCTAGAGGTTTCCGCACTTGGAGCCCTCCTGTGACTGGGACTTTTCTTTCTTTTTAATATGTTGAGCTGAACTGCAGAACCTATTTTATTACCTTCAACACAAATGTACTAATCTGGTTATACATTTTACACTGAACAAAAATGTAACATTGAGTTTAACGAAATGTATTATGACAACAGGTTCCACATAATTAGATTGTGTAATTTGTTGACATAATACATTCATTTAAGTCAACGTTTAAATTTGTTTTTCATCGTAAGATACATTACAAATCTAAGACGTTGACGTTAATTAAATCTATTCTGTCAACTGTATTAGGTTAGTTGAAAAAACCACTAATATTAAGTTTAAATACAAATAACTTTCAACTAACCTCATACAGTTGTGGGAAATGTGTTGACACTTAATTCAAGTCATTGTTTAGGTTTTTTCAGTGTAGCAAAGCAAGACAAATATACATTATTCAGCTTCTGAAATGATTCTACAAAGCGTTAAGGTAATGCCAAAAAGGAGGGGAAAATAAGGGTCATCTATAAGGTAGTACAGACACTAAAAGTCCAAATAAAAAATAGTACTAAGCCTATTCCTCTGAGTCCAGCAAATGTTCAAATCTGGCTTTAGATAAACCAGCAGTTAGGTACATAACACACACTATTGCTGCTTGGAGCTAACTGCAGAAGCCTTGGCAAACATGCCGTGCTAATTGTGTGCAGTAGCCGGACTACCTTTCCCCAGTTAGCTGTAACGTTTAGTTTCCCCTCGAGAGGGTCTGTGTAGGACTGGGCGAATTTCTCCGAAATCTTGTGCTAATATTTGTAGCGTGAGAAAGAGAAGAGCCATGCCAAATAAAACATGGCTATTTGGTCTCCAGTTTGGAGGTAACGTTGGCCCCTGGTGGGCTGTTTGTGGTCAGTAGGATATTTTATAGTTTTCTTTTTTGGTTTACTCCTTATGTACATAACTGCAGATTTATCAAGTATGTTTCTGCTGTGCTGTGAGATATTATAGGTCTTATAGATCTGGAATATTTTAGGTTCACTGAGTAATGTCAGATTGTCTTCTTCGTGATTGTGTTCGATATTTAAAGAGACTGGTAGCTATGTAGGTATATTTATTTTTTTAATTAGAGGAAAACATCGTTTGAGAACAATCAGGATCTTCTTGTGACATTTAGATTTTTGTTCCTTTCTCATCAGGGGGTTATGACCCCAGAATAATTTGGGTGCATATTTAACTCACATGTTAGCTACACAAATATGGAAGTACATGATCTGTGACAGTACAGCAACTCCAGGTTTCTTTCATTCAAGAGTGCTAGTTGCAGGCTAAATCAATATTGTTCTGCCTAGAGTTGATCATGTATTTACTGTGCATATACACACACATACGTACACATGCACAAACATGTAAAACTTGTAATTTAATCATATCATAATGATATTCTAGCAGGTTAAAGGTATGAAAACAATAGGCATTAGACATAGGCATTACATTAACATGCATGAAGATTTTATTTACCAAACAAAAGAAAACACAAACAAAGTTTTAAGCCGAATAAGTGAAACAATACAGGTTCTGATGAGGAGTTGAAAGTAGCAAGACGATACGTTTCTCTTAGACCAGAAAAAAAAAAAGAAAAATAATGCCAGATATTGCCTTAAATGTCATAAATAATGCCAAACATCCCAGCTCGTTTAGCATCAAAAGCATTTCATTTTAATCATATTTGTGTGGCTCCTTTGCCAAAGTTAAACAAAGTATTTTAATATCAGCTCCAAAATGACTGTTTTGAATATCAAAAGGAAATCATTACATAGCAATAAACTAATATTGGGGGATTTCCGATAAGCCTTTAAGTCCTTTTGCCTTTGGTTGGTTTCAATGAACATAACTATGCAATTAAATTATAACTGGCCTTAATCGTACTTTGAGAACAAATGCAATCGTCTTATATCCTTGCACGGGTTAAAACCAAAAGTCTATGAAGTAATAAGAGAGATGAATTAAAGGCAACTGAACCAAAGATCTCGTAATCTTGGTTATGTGGCGGATCATAATTGTAATGTAAATTGTTAGCTGTGCTCTCGTGGAGTTATAATGTTATTTAATTTACCTTAATGTAAATAGCACAGTGCATTCTGTAAATTACACTTTGTCATTTTTGTAAATAGTATACTTAAGTATTTTTCTTCATGATGATTCTGTTTATATATTTGTATACTGTAAACTTTAAATATAACAGCTGCTATTTTGTGTTAGTGAGTTGTTTTATATCTATGACTTATTTTGTATCTATGTATTATTCCTATTTTAATAAACAACTGACATTTTACTGAGCTTTACTTTGTACTTTTTTTGTACCCCAAAGTTTTATGTTGGAAATGTAAAGTACAGGTCCCCTGCACAAAGAAACTGCCAGGTGCTGACTTTCATATGTTAGGAAATGTGCACAATTAGCACAAGTTGCATTAGTTAGCATATGCAGACAATAGTTTTACAAATGGTTTGACCAATATGGACACTTTGAGTGGTTTTTGAGGGTGTTGAATCAGTTTCTGATCATCATCTTGGCCATATTTGTTCTCCTGGTGGGCTGATTTTGATGGACTTTGGTTCGATTTTAAAGTTTTAGGGCACTCAAAACTGCAATTTTTTATTTTTCTATTAATGTCAGAATTTGATTCAGCATCCTCAATAACATCAACAACCACACCAGAATTGTCTTATCTCTAACACATCCGGGTTCACACTGCTTGCAAGGAGACTCATTTGTCATTTGTTCAAAGAAACAGCCCACACTTATCTGTTTTCTCGCTTTTTGGCAGTTTACTCTCTAAGTCAGTCAGAGAAGCAAATTCTGCTGCATGATGAATATTCTTAAGTGGCTGGAAGCAACAGAGGTCATACAAACATCCACTGAAGGAGATGAATAATAACCTGTCTTCATAAACGTTTGGATAGCAAATGAGGGTGTCCAAAACTCGAGTGTGACACAACCTCTGGATAAGCTTTTCAGCAGCTCTTAAACGTTCTGTTGCTCAATATGAGATAAGATTAACTGTATGCTTCAACTGTTAGATATATTGTAGTGTCAAATTATCATATTCAGATAAGGGCTGGTGTGCAAGAAGTACTTTAACTCCATTAAAAGAAGCTTTACGTAATGTAAAACACATCATTTCAAGTAAAAGTTGTGCAATCATTATTATAGTAAAAGTACATAACTGTTATTAGCAATATCTGCTCAATGCATCAAAAGTAAAAGTACATGTTTTGCAGAAAAATTATCAAAGGCTGACCTAAGATATCATACTGATGCTTCAATTCTCAAGCAGCTTTTTAGTGTTGCCTTCTAAAGGGTCACAGTGAACGGTTTGAGATGATTAATGAGGCAGGAAAAAAACAGACCCTCTGCTTCACTAATCTGTGTTTTATCACATTTTATTCTCTAATCTTTGCTTTTCTTGTGAAATATTAAATCACTTTCTTCTTGTAGATCTCAAACAGTTACGAAACCATGTCAATTGTTGACAGGGGGTCCCAAGAAAGGGGTCCAAGCCAAAAATGTTGAGAACAAATGGTTTATGTTTTATTTTAAAGGTTTATCATACAGTTCTTAGTGTGATCTTAATCTGTAAAGTAACAAGTAAATATCAATAGAAACATAAAATAACATGGGAATAGAAGAACCTTTGATTCCCATTGGATCCCATTGGATCCCATGGGATCTTAGAACAGCAAATTGGAATTGTTCAAAGTAAATTAAAGAACTATCTTTTTAATTTGGTATTTTATTTGGGGTGATTTTAGTTTTATCAATGTTCATGTTTTATTGTTCTTTTATTTACTCATTGTTATTTCTATGTATCTTGTCTTGCTCTGTAACGTACTTGGGGCTGCATCTTGCATGAAAGGTGCTGCTATATACAGTACATATAAGTGTATTATTTGTAATAATGAATAGTAGAGTAAAGTGAGTTTCTTTCCACTACAGTTGTTGACCACTTACAGTAACACTGGTCTTACCCTAAGAGAGTTTGTAGGAAAAAGCATGTTCCCATTTCAATAACTGACCTAAATCTATTTAAAAGGCTTACAGATGATTTACTAGAAATCCCAACACAAACACACACTGTCATGTGGAGATGTCATTTACCTCTCTGGCTACAGACTGTATGTTACATGCCAACAGGTCATTCTGCCAGCAGGCCACTTCCCTGCTGCTGACCAAGCGCTTTGCCTTCTGATCCCAACCTTTCCTCGGGTGACCAATTATGGAGATACTCAGTCTTACCGTCTCCCCGCTGCAGTAAAGGGATATTCAGGAACTCAATGCCTCTGCCCTGTTGCAGCCATAAAAGCTGATACCGAAGCAGGAGGTATCAGGTCATGTTTAGACGTTTTGAAGCTTTACTTTTATATATTCTCCCACTGGCCTCCCCTTGAAGGAAAACTTGGAGGAGTGCCTTAACCTCCTTCAAGACTATAAAGGAGATAACCTCTATATTATCCAATGGTGACCTTAAATGATCCATGGAGCTATGATGTATATCACAATGCTGTAGGGCATCCGGTTAAGCTGTGCTCAAATACCATTTTTGTGCCAATATTCTCTATTGGCACAAGATGTTGCCTCTGAAATCGGAACCCTTTTAAACAGAACCTCTGCTCAATGGCTTAATAACACCTTGGTATACAATATCTCTCTTCTTTCCTGGAAATTCACACAAATTAAAACACTCATCACTTCATAAAAATTAAAAACACATTATTATCTTTTCAATCCAGATTTATTTAGCCATTAAATCAATTGTGTCAACAAGTGAACAAATGTAGATATTTATTTCTGTCGTAATCCCTGTTAATGGCAAATTCACAATTAGAGGAAGTGTGAGTAGTGATTTGGAAAGGTATTTGTAAAAAAAAGGAAAAGAAAATGTGTGGAAAGTACAAGATTATAACGCCAGTCCTCTGTCGCCCTCTGCTGGTTAGAATGTGTCCCTACAGTCTGCACTCATATCTTGTGCTTGTACCTAAGTAAAAGTAGAAGTACTAGAGTGTAAGAAAACTCAGTTACAAGTCAAAGTCCTACAATCAAAATGATACTCAAGTAAAAGTATTAGTATCAAAATATACCTAAAGTACCAAAAGTAAAAGTAGTCATTGTGCAGATTCTGATTGGTCCATTTCAGAATAATATATATGATATGTTTGATAATTATTGATGCATTAAAGCGTTATCAAAGCTGGTAAAGGTGCAGCTAGTTTGAATAACTTTGTATACTGCAGGGTAGCTTGTGAATTTACTCCAGGTGGAACTAAAGTCTGATTTAAGACTTGATTATATTTCACATCATTAATCCAAATCTGCAAAGTTACTAAAGGTATTACATAAATGTAGTGGAGTAATAGTACACGATTTACCTCTGAACTGTAGTGGAGTAGAAGTACTGTGTAGTGTAAATACTCAATTAAATAAATGTACTTAGTTACTTTACACTGCACTTAGTCCAGATAGGCGTTCACATCCCAGGGCTGCTGTGATAATAGAAACCTCTCATCTGGTTGGAACTGACTCCATGTGAAAGAGATGCCCGGCTGGTTCCAGCACTGAATCACAGGGAGGTGGGCTCTGAGGGTCTCAGCTGCTAACGGCAGGGTTGTCCTTGAGTCAGTGTGATGCTGGACCAATGGACAAGTGAATCTGTCTCTGTGGAGAATATCTAGTGGAGTCTTGTCAGCCATGGTTTGGGCCATCGTGTTATTAGACTGATGGAAGAATGAGGGTGGGACTGAGATGGATGTCATATGTTCAGAATTTCTCACACCTGTAAATCAGATTAAAAAAAGGGAATTAAATAATGTGTTCACTTCAGCTTATGTAGGAGTCTTTTTACTCCTAGGGTTAAAGTATATTTTTTTATAAAGTACAATTTGGTGTGCTTCCAAACCATAGATATTATACCAATAAGTCGCTCCTCTGTAAACTCCCCATTACCTTCGACATGGACAATCATTTTAGAATCTAGACAATCAAACCACAGAGCTAAATGAACACATTGATTTGCTCAAAATAGATTTTTGTTGATTATTACCTGTTTCTGTCGGGAAGAGGTAGCCATTTTGCAATTTCCTGGCAACTGTGTTGTATGTAGGGCAGACATCTGAGTTTTCACAATAGATTCTTGATGCTTCCGTTGCCTTGAAATTGACACAAATACAATTCAAATGAATATCCACATTAAAAGAAACCAAACTGACTCGCATTCGTCACACTACTACACCAGACCCCTAAACACTTCAAATGTCTCTCTATAGCATTAAATATCCATGAAAAAATAAGCGTTATTCATATTAAACAAGCAACATTAGGGATTGTTTGGTAAGAATTTCGACAACTCATCTAATTAGCTTGATAATCAGTTTGATGAGATTTGATTGACAGTGAAACAGCACACCAGCTGGTGTCAGATTCTGATTAAAATGTCGTTCAATCCTGATTGGTGGATGGAAATCCGTGAAAAACTGTGTGTTCATGTACAGTGTGACTCCATCGCTCAAAGGTAAAAGCTGATTCAGAAGGAAACATTTTGAGGTTTGTCTCACAAAGTGTTCATTAGCACTGTACCTGTTGAGATGTGAAGCTGTGTGGTAGTGTTGGATTCACAGGGACAACGTCTCTTTGCTTCTGTAGATCTGCAGGAGAAATGTATTCTGTCAAATAATGTCCCATTATGCAAAATCTGTCGAGGCCTTTTCATTAACAGACACACACTCTTACTCTGTGCGGCACATCTGTGTTTGGCCTCCCTCCTCCATTTGGCCCTTCTGTTTGAAAACCAGACCTTCAAGAGACAAGATATGATCAGATAAATGTGTAAATCTCTATGAGAATTTCAATGATTTAAAAATAAGACTCTACCTTGATTGTATCCTCAGGGAGTTTGATTTGGGAGGAGAGTTTCTCTCTCATGTACATGTCTGCATACTGGCTGTGAGAGAACTCTGATCAAGGGGATAGAAACGTGTTTTAAAGTTAGCTTCTCTTAATGGAAAGACGCAGTGTTGTGTAAGCTTGAGATTTGAAGTCACCTTGCTCTAGAGCCGTGCTCTGCTCCGGGGTGAAGGTGGTTCGGTTCCTCTGCTGAACACCTTTAGGCCTCTGGTCGCTGCTGCATACGGCCTCAAACATCTTTCTCTCGTTCACCTCTTCTTGAATCAGAGAATCTAAATCTGTAGATGCACACATTTTGTTAGATTAAAAGAAAATTCTAACAAATGTAGCCTATTTATGTAGAAATTCTACTGGCTTTGTTTACATTTTTGGCTTTAGTTCTGTCATCATATATTAGTGACTGGTTGACAGAGGTGGAAAAAGTACTCAGATTGTGTAATTAAGTTAAACTACCAACGAGCAGGAATACTCTGCTACAAGTAAAAGTCCTGCATTAAAATCTTACTCAAGTAAAAGTACAACACTTTTGGCATAAAATATACCTAAAGTACCAAAAGTTATATTCCATTATGGCCCATATCAGATTTAAAATATTACATATTGTATTCTAATTATTAATGCATTAATGTCAATTTTGCACTTTGTAAAGATGGGGATTATTTAAATTACTTGATATACAGTAATGCTGGGTGATTAACCTATAATAATACATAATGATTGGTTGGTTTCTAATCTGTAATATAAATCCATACCTGCAAAGTAGCTAGTAACTTCATTTGTAGAAATAAATGTAGTGGAGTAAAAATTGAAAAATGCATCCAAAATGGAGGCAAGTAAAAGTAAAAAGTAGCATAACTCAAGTGAAGTAAAATACCTCAAAATTGAACTTAAGTACAGTATTTGAGTAAATGGAGCTACTTAATTACATTCCACAACTGCTGGTTGTGTATAATGATAATCAGCTGGAGATAATCAGCTGTTCCTTCTTTCATTTATTCCAGTGATTTACCATCCTCAGTCCTGATGCGGGCATTGTTCTCCATGCACATCGGTCCATGGTCCAAGTGAATCTTCCTTAAAATTCGATTTATAGACGACACCTTGCGGAACACAGAGAGTAGAAAGCAGCATGTCAAATGCTTGAACAGTTTCGGTCTTATGACAACATAAACTTGTCACTTACGCTGGGAACTTTGGAGGCTTTGCATATTCGTGCTGATGAGAGTCGTTTCCGTATTTCCCAGGCAAATATGGTTGGATTTTCCCTTTTGCACTGGATGATCGTGGTGATGACCCCGGGGGTGAGGAGGCGAGGCCGGCTCCCCCCGATGGTTTTCGGCTGCAGGAGTCCAGTGCGCTGGTAGCGGCTCAGGATTTTACTGACGCACCCGTTGGAAACCTGAAATACGCATTGGGATAATTTATTAGAATAGGCCTATATTATAAAGTGACAGAGGTGTGCGAAATACTCAGATCTTGTACTTAAGTAAAAGTAGAAGTAGCCTACCAGATTCAAGTTAAAAGTCCTGCAATGTTACTCAAGTAGTAAGAAGTATTGGCAGAATCAGAAACAGGTTTATTGCCAATAGGTTAACACACAACAAGGAATTTGCCTTGTCCTATACATAAACACAGTTAAAGAAGATAAAGCAATTATAATAAAGATATTGAAAAAGTATTTACATGGAATCTGGAACCAGGAAGTTCAAGTAGCCAATCATCATGCAGATTGGTTCATTTCAGAATAATATATATGATATGTTTTTATAATTATTGATGATTAAAGTGTTATCAAAGCTGTTAAAGGTACAGCTAGTTTTAATGACTTTGTATAGCTACTGCAGGGAGCTGGTGAATTTACTCAAGGTGGAACTAAAGTCTGATTTAACAATTGATTATATTTCACAACGTTCATCCAAATCTGCAGAGTAACTAAAGGTATTAAATAAATGCAGTGGAGTAAACGTACAACATTTACCTCTGAACTGTAGGCCTAGTCGAGAAGAAGCACCAAGTATACAGCAAACAATTGACTCAAGTACAGTGCTTGAGTAGATTGAGTTGTAAAGTGATTATTGTATTTACTAGATCTTGTGTGAGAATATTAAACCATCAAAACGCCTAAGCCACCTTTTCACACTGAAATCTGAATAAATGGTGCAGAACAGTTTTCCGTACCCGCAGAATCCTGGAGATCTGGCTCGGCCGGACTCCCTCCGAGGCCAGCTCGATCATTTTCCTCCTTTTGGACTCCGGAAGAGGTCTGCCGTTGAGAAACATCCCTCCGAGCTGGTTTACACTTCCACCACCTTGTTATAACACAACATATGCTATTTAAATCTGTTTTACAAAGTGATTTCAATTGCTTAACCACTCTGGAAAAATAACAAACTTCCATTACATCTACTAAATTGTACATCTGGACTGTGTCTATTGCGCCAAAAAGCCTCCGCACATGGTTTGAGTCTTAGAATGGAATTACAGACTTCAAGTGCAGTATAATGGAATCATAAAAGTAACCTTTATTTGGCAGGTCGTTGGCCCCGCACATCTCAGCTGGCTCCGAGGCCTGATGGTGAAGTTGCTGATAAAAACAAATGCTCTGCTTCCAAAACACCTTTATGATATAAAAATGGCACAACCAAACAAAAATGTCGCTTGTAGAGAAAATGAAATGTCCAGGTAGCTCCGCGCATCTCTGATAAATGACAATGAGAGGATCACGCCCTTCAGCAGACATTTATAGACCTGCAGACCTGCATGACGTGTGGCCTGCTACCTGAAACGCAGAGGTGGAAGTACACAGATCGTGTACTTAAGAAAAAGTAGAAGTACCAGAGTGTAGGAATACTCCATTAAAAGTAAGTCCTGCATTCAAAATGCTGCTCAAGTAAAAGTACAAAAGTATTAGCATCAACATATACTTAGAGTACCAAGAGTAAAAGTACTCGTTGTGCAGATTGGTCCATTTCAGAATAATATGATATGTTTTATAATGATTGATCATTAAAGTGTTATCAAAGCTGGTAAATGTGCAGCTAGTTTGAATGACTTTGTATACTGTAGCTTGTGAATTTACTCCAGGTGGAACTAAAGTCTGATTTAAGAGTTGATTATATTTCCCATCATTAATCCAAATATGAAAAGTTACTAAAGGTATAAATACATGTAGTGGAGTAAAAGTACACGATTTACCTCTGAGTTATAGTAGAAATACAAATGAGCAACATTTTAGATAAGTCCCTCAACATTTTACTTAATACTTGAGTAAATCTACTTAGTTATTTTACAACACTGCTGAAATGTCAATATTAACTTTCAGCGAAAGTTTATATTTATATATATTTCTCTTCAAGGCATTTCTTTCAGGGATAAAACAAGAGTCTAATGTGATTCAAGCATCAGAGGAAGGATTGAGTCATGGACATTAAATATTCTGGAACATTCCTCCAAAGAAGGAAGCTTACATTTTACGTCGATCTAGTTAATGCACATACAAAAGTAATAAAGTATTGTAGGCTACAAATAATTAAAAATATCTGAGTTACATGGGCTCCATAAACTAGATTCACTTCTAGGATGTTATTAAAAAAAAAATGCAACCATATTTGCACCGTCTTTTTTGGGGCAATATCATTTTATTCGTGAGAATAGTGAACTGGATAAAGGTTGCATTTCTTGGTCGGCATTATAAGCGCATATATCCACTTATCCGTCAAAATCGTGATTTGATTCAAAAGGTCTGTGGACTGCTGTTACTACAGAGTTAACATACTATTATATATTTTGTCATCCAGATTTGTCTACTTTTGCGCAGTGGCTGCACACAATCTCAATCAGACAAATCCATTGTCAGTGCAACACAAATCAGTGTTTAACTTTCTGAATCGGTGCATGTTTTACAATTACATTTAAGTTACAAATGCCATCTTTCAAAGCAGCTAAAATATCAACACTGGTATGCTTCCCATCCTATAGTGACTTTAACACTTGTGGTCACGTGACTCGAGCATTCTTTCCGCAGCCTAAGTGGCTCAGATTAAAAGGATCTCTGGTGTCCTTTCATAAAACAAACATTTGGAAATCTGCGCCAATGACGACTGCCATATGGTAAAGTGCTTTTGATAAATCATAAATCCATCACCCAGACTCTCTTTATTACATTTTCTTTTAAAACGTGAACAAATAGACTCGTATGTGGGCGCAAGAAGAGGGCCAATTGGGGGACCTCGTTTATCCAGAAGAGGGAGGCTAAAATAACCCTCACAGATGTTCCTTGGGCAGCCAGCAGATAAAAATGCGTTGTAAACGTTTCGAAGGGAAATATTTGACGAGCAAATATTAGCCCATGCGAAAAACCCACACGAGGCTCGTCTTTTGGCCTGTTTAATGACTAATTGAATATCATTAGTTGGGTCCACACAGATCGAAGTGCCACCGAAATAAAGCCTGAGATTTTAAAATGCCATATGGCCCAAATTATACATTAACCATGGGTTAGAGGACAATAATACTCTCTGTGTACAATCAGCAGGTTAGATAGAGGACATCCATTTTGGACACCATCATCTCCTTGCCAACCGAGACAATGGAAAAACAAGGCAAGCCTTTTTATTTATTAGCACGGAGTTAATGAGGTCATTGATTTATATTACTTTATAGCTCGTACAGTGTGTGCCAAACGAGGATGATTAAAGTACTTAGGTTGTGTTGTTAAGACATTACCTAATATTCGTGGTGCGTAAATTCGAGGCTCGCCAATAGAGGGGGCGGGAGTTTATAAGTCTGAATCGTGCCAAAAAAAAAAGTTAGCATTTTACTACGATATTTGAGGTGTTTTTGGCTTGCATAAAACACCTATGTCGTTGCTTTAATGCGCCTTGAAGCGTTCAGAAATGCAGGTTATTCATCCGCGTAAAAAGGTTTCCAAAACCTCTCCAGTGCGCTCTAAGGTGTAGCTTGCGCAACGGAGCTGCCTCCCTGGTCGATTCTCTACAAAGTTTCTTCATACTTTTATGAGCTTTGGTATCTTCCATTTTGATTTTTACTCGAGTTAATGTTTTTTTATTCTGTAAAAGCAGACGCTTGCGTAAATCCTTTATCTGCATCCTACAATTTATAGAGGTGCCATAGTGCAGATTGCAGGAGTGGGCTTACACACAAAAATAGTTTTAACTCGGTTTAGTATACAGAAAAAGTCCATGACAGATTTTGTGTTTTGCGCACAAAACGATCACATGCGTATGGGATGTTATAACTAAATTACCTAAAAGCTTTCACTGTTACCTTGTATCCTCTTCTTGGTGAAAGTGCAGAGAAGCTAATAGCGTGCTGCAAAGACAATGAAGCTATACCTGAAGAACACAGTTGGCCATTTTAAACAGTGTACTGAATTAAATCTTTATTAAAATACATGCATTTCATGAAAATGTAACTCTGGGAGCCTCTATTTATCACTATAATATAGGAGGAATAAACAACAAATATACAAGTAAATAAGTCATTATTTCTACAATCTGATACCAACTCATTGTATATTTATTACTGATCATGTTTCCCCCCCTCAGGTCATATCACAATGCCAATTTCGGTCCTGAAACAACTGAACTAAGTGAGTAAACAAATAACAGTTCGACAATGTTTAGTTAAACATATTTATTTACATCTAAGCTACTTAGAGGTTGCAACTATTTAAATTGATTAGATATTTATTTAAATATAGGAATATAACAATATGAAAATGACACTTTAGTGCAGAAAAAAAAGTCCTTATTTTACATGCTATATTTCCTGGTGATTCGCACACTGCTACAAACTGGTATAGAGTTCAGTTCCCTTATACTGTGGCCTCAAACCAACTACATACCAACGGGTCATTTTGGACCTCTATGCCAAGGAGCATGCTGTCTCTCCCTGTCACACACAGTTCATGGTCGTACAAGCTACTCCTTTTGGGAATTAATGTCAGAGCATTAAAACATGAAAACATCTCAAGGTATTTAGCCTGCAAATATTTAGAATAGGTCCCATGAGCAATAATGTTCTTTGCAAGCCATGCCCTGTTTCTTACTCACACATGACATATGAGATCTGCCAAGTACAACTGAGCAGCAGCAGAACAAAACAGGCAATATCAAATCAAAATCTTCTGGTGCAAGATTATCCCCAATGTTATGATTTCGCAGCAAAATCGACAGGGAGGTTGAGATTTCATATTCATTTTTAACGCAAATCTTATTTCAGTTTAAAGTGACATGCAATCTGTGATAACATTAACTTGAACAATGGCTCCTTAGGTGTCATATAACAGTGAGCATGCACAATACTTGCAGCCAACATTAATGATATTAATTCCACCTGATTATTTCCAGTTGAAACGTCTATTGTGAAAAGGGTCCATAAGTTAATGAAAAGTTCAATTTTCAGAAGTATTGAATTGAACATCTTTTGTATGCACAGTGTACAATTGCATATTTGTGTGTAGGCCTAAGTCTGACAACTTGTGAAATGTTGTAAGTTAAATTCAAATGATTTGGTAAAAAAAAGGTCTCACATACTATGAAATCCTTTTCTGTTTATTTCCTTTCCATCTTGGAATCTTGTGGAGAAAGCTGCTGGACCAACCAAAATGAAGAGAAGAAGATATGCAGGAGATAGTGTGGATTTACAATACAATAAGGTACACAATACATTAAACAATAACATTTAATGCAAATCCAGCATTTGTAATATATTGTTGAAATCTCTTTTGTGCTCACGAAAGCCCAATTTCTTACTGGAAACTGTTGCTAAATGTATAGCTAAGTAATTTATCATTGTATAGTCTCGCTTGTGTGGACTCAACATTTCCGTCAGCCCGTGAAGGCAGCATTGTAGTGTTAACTCTATGCTGACGTGTCGCACGTCTTGCTCCGGAAGACGTTATTTCAATTCGCTTACGCGGTGAATAAGCGGCTGCATTCGCTCCCATTCATTGTGCTTACCGGACCCGGATATATTTTTGACGTGTGTGTATGCATGGAAAAGTGCGTTTCCGGTATAACGTGTGTGTTGATCGGTGCTCAGCCTTTTTCTCTTGGCTTTCAGTAGAACGGTCATTCACTACAGAGTCCAAGCTCCCTCACCTGCTCACCCGTTAACGGCGTTATATCTTAAACCAGTGGACATGGCATCTGTTTCGGCACCAGCTCAGGCTGCAGCAGCTCCGGCTGCTTCCCTGCAAAGAGGAATTGTGAAAATGGTAGGAATCCTAACACAAATATGTGAGCTCACTACGTGAACCTAGGCATACAGCTAGATAGCGTAGTGAGCTAGGAGCTTATAGAGGCTAAAGTAACTGAGGTTGTCATACAACTTTATTTAAAGTTATATGAAGAAATATATGCAACTGTCCCTTAAATGCCAGAGTTGGCAACGTGTCACTTACAACTGTCACTTGCATTCAGCTCACCTGCTAACATCTGATAGCATTAGCTAGTTTGTTCTAGCATTTGCTAGCCTGTTAATAAGCTGAAGCCTATTGACGTTAGCACATGTGTGCTATCTTGCTAGTTAGCTTTAACTTCAACTGGCAATTTCAGCTGAAATGTAAATGTATTGACAACTGTCGTGCAGCTGTTAAAGATTCACTGCCATTAGACAAAGTAAATTCGCATACACTTATAGCAAAGCTGGTTGGAAACTGACATTAATTACTAAGTTGACGTTAACTCGGTTAATAATAACAGATGTTTAGTTTCCCAGCTATTAGCTAGCTGACGGTTACCTAACGGGAGTTTACTGTCCAGCAAGTGTTGATTTATATAAACAAAGTTAGTGGTCTGTAATGATAGAAACAAGGGGTTGACAGCGTTTACGCATTTTATTATACTTATTGGTCCCACGTCAATAGGTACTTAGCCAAGTAGCGTGTAAGCTAACGCTGAGGGTTTTCCTCATATCACTTTTTTATTGTCTCTCTTAGCATTTCCCATAAGTGCTATTGTGACGTATTTCAGCAGTTAAAGTCCCGGTCATCAACGTTAGGAAATCGTAGATTCCATTGGCTGGTTTATGTGTCCTGAGCCTTCAAGTCAGACAGGATTTCCCCAGTCTGCCGGTTAAAACCGACCACGGGAAACTGACACGTAGCCTCAGCTTTCTGGCTCCTATAATCTCCCATTCATCTTGGTTATGTGTAGTCGCTGCTATGTTACTTCACCTTCTTCACTTTTGGATTCGACCTTGCACTTTGTCCTAAAGGAGTGATAACCCTTAAGTTAACAAACTAGAATAAGTTAGTATAATTTTATCAGCGAATGCCTTGCATAGTTCCATATTTTGAGCCCTTGGACAGTGGCCAGTAGACCCACAGTCTTGTGTATGCCACCAATAAACAGATAGGCAGCAGATGAATTCGGACTAATAAGGTTTTAAACTGTATGTTAGGTTGTTTTAGACGTTAATATTATTAGGAAAATATTTCCCCCACGGGCGTTGTATCAAGGGCTGTTTTAATTACTGTGTTTACTACTGAAAAAAACAGGTTAGAACTGGTGTCCTCCCTTGAGAAGGTAGTTTGTGTATTACACTCTGTTGGGTTAACTACCAAAGGAATTGAGGGTTTTGTGAAGGTCTGTTGATGTACTATAATCTGAGTAGTTGGTTTGAAATTAGTTTGGTTAGAGTTTTATTATGCTTGAAAAAGGTGATCCATGTTGTGTATTGCATTCCAAGTGGAACTTGTACCTTTTGTAAATAGAGACGTAGGGGTGGGGGTAGTGCCTCTTTTAATCATGCCAGGCAGTGTATAAAAACTACAGTCACACTCCGGTTTAGCTTATACTTTGAGGGACTGAGTCAGATAGCGGGGAATTGTGGTGACTTGATGAAAGACTTTATCTAGCCCACATCTTAGATCAACAGCCCCCAGTGATGCTCCCTGCAGACGAGAGTCCGCAGATAAAAGGTGTTTGCTCAGATTCGTGTAAATGCCATGGTTGTCAAACCCAAGAGTAGGTTATCTTTTTTATTTTTTTATTTAGCTACGTTATCAGATAGTGTGATCTCCCCTTGTCTTTGAATGACATAGTGTCTCCATGGAAACATGCAACCTGAAGTTGCTTTTCAACTCTATACAAGTTTGTCCTTTAACATCTTTTAAGATTGAGCTAATTTAGAGCTACTCCGATTTTGTATATTGGATACGGATTTGAATTCACGCACAAGCTCGGATCTAATTCTCTAAATTGATGATTTTCTTTTTGTTGTGCTTATTAACTGTACTTGTTTATGTTACAGCTGTTTAGAATAAATCCTCCATGAGCCTCTCATAGTGCTTATCAGATTTACACTTGCTGCAAGGCAAACACAAACACAATGGATTACTGATTGTACCAGAGTGCATGTCATGTCACAGAGGAAACAAACTGAAGGCTACCCCTCATTTATTTCCTTCCACACGTGTTGTGGTCTGGTATATGTTTCTGGTGTTTGTGGCCTGTAAAATGAATTATGTTCTTTGTGATTAAACAGATTTTAAAAAACAAGAAGAGAGTGTTTGGGATATTATCTCCCGACTGAAACTGTGGCATCGACAAATATTTTTTACTGTTGATTTTATCGCCTCAATTGACGTTGTTTTTGTCATCTCTCAGGTCTTGTCGGGCTGTGCCATCATTGTTCGGGGCCAGCCTCGAGGTGGCCCCCCCCCGGAGCGTCAGATCAATCTCAGTAATATCCGAGCCGGGGCCATGGCCCGTCGAGCCGCTCAGGCCCAGCCCGACAGCAAGGACACCCCTGATGAGGTGAGCAGTTCTATCCCATTGTGTTTGTTTGTTTGTTTTTATTTGTGTGTTTGGCAAAGGCAGAACAAGGTTGCTCTGTTTAGCCCTGCAGAACAAACTATGATATTTGTTTTTTTATTTCACATGGCTTTGCCTAATCTTTTTCCCATTTAGCAGGTGTCATTATTCATGGATTGGTACTCCAAACATGCTTGATTGTATAGATGACTATATAGCCTAGCAATTCTCTATTGAACTCGAGACTTTAAGATGCCTCTGTTTAATTTTCTTCACTATTTCAAAAAGTCCATCAATTATTTATCACAGCCAGATTAAACTACTGTCTGTTCTGTTGCCCGTTTTTTTAAATGTATTTAAATGTATTCGTATCAATTGTGTTGGGACTGAAATCTCTGCTTTTCATTATTAAATACATTTCCTATACATGTATGGTTTCGACAGACAGTCATGGCTTTTTTCTTTTTATCAGATGAAAAAAGAAAGAAAAAATCCATTAAAAAGGGCTTACAGATAATTTGTTTTAATCAAGATAATATCTGATATGCTGATAACTGCATTTAGTGGTTATTATTTCTGCTTCGTTACTGTGTGTGTCTGGTTGCAGTGAAGAGGAAATAGCAAATAACCTGCAGACAGGGCCATCATCTGTGATTACACTCTAATTTAATCGGAAAACAATACAATATTTATATAACTTAAAATGAAGGCTTATATTTGTTGTCGCATTAGTATGTACTAATGATCTGATTAATGCTGCTTTATGGTTCAGTACATTAATATTCCTGTCTGTTTTGCAGCCTTATGCCTTTCAAGCCAGAGAGTTCCTGCGGAAGAAGCTTATCGGCAAAGAAGTGTGCTTCACTGTGGAAATCAAGACCGCTTTGGGCAGGGAGTATGGCATAGTCTACCTGGGGCGAGGTGAGGGACCTGTCTCTATAATCACTAACTGATCTGAGAAATGTCCACATTAAGAGAAATACTAATTGGAATCTCATTTTTTGAAGATTAAAGCAAAATGAGATGGGACATGCTATAATGAATTTAATTGACCTGTGATGTGCAACTCATTATTGCAACTCAGGGTGTCTTTTCAAAATGCTGGGTTATAATTTTGCTATCAAAGTTTCATGTATATTTTATGCAAAAAAAATGCATTAGTTAGTTAAACACCCTATTTTTCAAAAATAAATTGATAGTCGGCAAGTACGTTAGAGTGTTTTTCCGGGAAGTTGTACATGCTGCTGGTATAATTTAACTGGGCGTTGTTATAATCAGCCGTTAAATTAGCAATCCTGCAAAATGTGATTTTGTGTAGCTAACATGTCTCCCTATTCGAAATGTCAGCACTCATGATTGCCTCGTGTCCAATCAAATTTCCCGACCAGAACTAACTGCAGTGTGATTATAATGGTCTTCAAATAAATAAAAATGCTTCTCTTTCTTAAAAAGTACTTGATGTTTTTTCCTTCTATTTTCAGACACAACTGGCGAGAACCTTGCTGACAGTCTGGTGAACGAGGGCTTTGCCACAGTCCGCAGGGAAGGAATCAGAGGGAACAAGTAAGATATTTAGAATACAGTACTGTTCAAAGTGCCTGTTTTGTCATGGGTAAAATACTCATTGTCAGAATTTAAAAAGAAATACATTTAGATAACATTGTGTTTAAGCAATATGTGATTATATAATTTATCAAAGTTTCTCTGTGAGAGACTCTTCTAGTTACGTATCAGATTCTCTGGAACGCGGTATATTTGTTATGATGCCAGCTACACTGGCATTGTTGACCAAGAGGGTGTCATTATTCAATAGACTGAGAGGTAAAATGTGTTCCATCCAAAACTGTTTGCTCATTCAGTGTGGTGGAAGTAATGCTCATCCATGCTCATCATTTTTGGCAACATGATGTCATCTTTGTAAAGCGGCACAACAACACTGGATCCGTGGGGAGACATGCATAAGTCCTCAACTAGCAGTCTGTAGAGAATAGAGATGGAGCCTCGGTGTCCCAGATGGTGGCAGTGTTACCCTGCTGCCACAACGATGTCCCTCGGAAACCCTTTTCTGCCACATTGCCTTCGCACAGTATTCCCCTGAATACACTTGCATACCCAGCACTATATGATAAAGTACTATATGTCCCCCCCAGTGGCAGTATTTGCACACTACACACATTACAAGCACTTTGACTCATGCTGCTACATTTGTATCTTCCAACATAACTGAGATGATGTGAATATTCTGCCACTAATGACCCATTTGAAGCATCCTGTGCAATGGCCCAGATCAAGCACTAATGTAAATGATGCTTTAAGTGTAAGCGGGCATCATTTGGCCAAAGGGTGGGCCCATTACTCAGCGAGGACTTAAGGCTTTAGTTTTTCCCTCGGTGGGCTAGCCTCCAATATCATTGCCCCTCGTGAGCAGCTACGTTGATCACACTAACTATGATGTGTTCATGATTATGGGGGCGATTTTAACGATCATGGCTTCGGACACTGCAGTAAAAATGTGTTCAGACGCTGACTGCGGCTCAGGGAGAAATACGGTCAGCCATTTCACAGATTTAAAGGGTCGACCAAGTGTACCCGAGCAAGCTGGGGCACAGTTGTTTAGTGCTTTTTCATCGTTTTTTATAGAACAAGCGGGAACACAGTCACTCTCTCTCTCGCACAAACACAACAAATAACTGACCACAAGTTGGATTAACGGTTCATTTATGACCATTGATGCGTTAAACTTTGGCTTGAGTTTGATAATATAACACATGTATTTCAAAGTCAACTAACAAATACCATTTCCTGCAAATTAAGTCGAGTGCAACATTATAACACAGGGTTGAACCCAAGTAAGGTTTCTACACAGATAGACCTTTTTTTAAATAGTTATTTTGTGCTGTCAGGTATTGTTCTCTTCCTTGTAGCCTTATCAATGTTAATGAATAAGTACTTGCACTGTTGCCTAGAATGCACATCTCATTAATGTCTATTCTAATCGCAGTAACATAGTCCCAGAAAGGCCTTGGCTTAGTGAGACTCCACACAACACTTTTGTTGTGGCTAGTTGTCTCTGTTGATGTTTAGTGTTATAAAGAAGCATCTTCCCATATCACATTGTTTTCCTTCCACTTATTAGTTACACTGAATGGAGCTTTTTCTCTCCTAAGAAGAAGTACAAATCCTGGCATTTTTAAGTAGAACGATCTCATTTGTTACTTGCAGTCTTAAGTCCTTTTGACTAGTGCAACAAGAAATATTCTAGTCTCTTACTTGGGGTATAACATTAATGAATTATGTGATTTCTTTTTTGTCTGTCAGCTTTAGCTGCGTGCTACATATCGCAGCCCTCTGAGTCAGGCAGATTTATATTTTATTAAAATCACACGGATGAGTTTTTTTAGTTTTGCTGTTAGAGGTTTCAGTTTTACTTGATCAGGCATAAAAAATGCTGTCCTTTTTGCTGAGCCCTACAGCGATTGGTACCGACACGTTCATCAATCTCCCACACTCAGTGTTTCATCTTCAGCTCTGCCACTCAGTCAGAATCCTTTTCTTTCTCAAATATAATCGCTGAGGTGGCTATAGCCGGAAAATCGGTCAGCTAAACTTCCCATCTGAAAAATTAAATTCACAGGCAGGGGGCTTTGACTGATAGTTATTTATATCGCCCACCCAGCAGAGCAGAAAGGAGCTACATTAACATGGGAACCAGCTGTGCTTTATAATCCCACACCGCTCCTTTTTTAACTGGAGCACCAGAGGAGTGCTGGTTGAGGGATGTAAACGTTGGGGAGATGAACTGCGCTCATTTGGGCCTCGCCCTGCAGTCAGATACACTGGGGAATTTCCTACACCCTTTACAAACTGCATATATAACAGGGAGCTGTAAAACACTAAGGTTCAACATTTTGTATCTGTTTAAAGTGTTTTGAGCCGCATGGAGATGAAAGATATAGCCTATAGCGTGTTCAAATAAAAGGGAATTGGAACTTATTCCTCCAGTAGCTTTGTACAGTTTTCTTACCCATCATCAAAATCTGTTTTCATTTCAAGCAGTGTGGTTGTTAGGAGGAAGTTGCTGACCTAAGAGAACTGGTCTATTCAGAGGCATGGATACATCCACTATCATCTGCCCACACACATGCAGCTATTCCTATATCCTAACCAATCTCTGCGTGCTGCTTTCCATTTCAATCTGTGGCTTTTCTATGTCTGTGTTTCTTGATTGCATTGTTGCTTTCTTTCAATCTATCTTTCAAGCCCTCCGGTGCTGTTTAGCGCTTACATTCTAAGTAGCTTAAACGCAATTGACTTCTTACGGAAAGTTTCACTATTGCTGCCCTGTAAGCAAGAAACTGTTTTGATTTGAATTTAGAAGATACATCAGTGTTGAGAGGGAGCGACAACTTCTGTTGGGCGTGAGTCCAAAAGCCCAATTAGGAACACACAGCTGGAGAACGGCCTACATGTGTTTTTTATGTGTGGCATTTGAATTGAGACCCACTTTGTTGCTTCTCCAAAGCCAAAAGTGTCTTTTAAGGCAGCAAGACGTGAACAATTCAGCATGAACACTAAAAAGCTCTCGTCACAACCACTACTCCCATATCAATGAGGAAGCCTTTTGCTTCTATGAAAAACAAAAGCCCGTTGCCCATTTCAAGTAATGAATAATTAAAGTCGTACAAGGGCCCTCAAAAAGCATTAGGCTGCACAATTTAGCAAGCCAGCATGGAATTAATTGTGGCGTTCGTAGCCAGCTGCGTGGTTGCTTTTGAAGGAGCTGTCAAACACTGTTATTGTCTCCTCACAAAACGCTCTGATACTTTTTTCAAGCTGTTATATTCTGGTCATCAACTAAAAACATTAAAACAACATCACAGTATGTCAGCAACATCACTTTATTCAGCACTTAACTCAACTAAGCTGGAGCCTCACCACACACATGGAGTCCTATACTTTTAATGAGCGCATGTGCATGGTAAAGCTAATAAGCAATGACAGGTTTCAGCATCAAAAAGCTACAACTTGCTGTCATTTGATGAATTGTAATGAATGCAACATGACAGAAGGTAAAATACCTCTCACATTGCCTACTAGTTTTTGTAATTGTAGTTCATGTAATGCTAATATTTGCCTTTTGGGACACTGCTTTGGGTAGCCATGTTTCCACATCCTAGTTAGGAGTAATTAGAGCATGTTAAAGTTAACAGGGAGTGCAACTCTAAAATCAACACATTTTCTGCTCGTTAGCTACAGGGACCATTTCTGACTGGTGTGAAATTAACAAGCTAGGTTGTTTTTTATATATATATATATTTCCTAGCAGGTTGGCAAAGGGGTTTTATGGCCTTCAAAGACCCTCTGATGTTTTAATAGATGTTTAATAGCAGATTTATAGCAATATTTTAACTTGAGCTATCACAGCTTTAGTGCAGCGGTGTTCTAAAACAAAAAAAAATATTTTCAAAGCTGTCAAGAAGCCATCTTTAAAAGTTTCAATATCAGTTTCACTCAGCTGCAGCTTTCAGTAGTTGACCAAGTGTCTATTTCAATTTTTGAAGAAAGCTTTGTTTTTGTACATGCCCGAACTGTGAATGGAGAATACAAAAACTGCAAACAACTGAGTGACAAAAAGGAAACTATGGATCACATGCATCTTTAACAAAACTTCACTATTTATTACTCGCCACTACTACACTGGTGCGCTGTGGGTCTGTGTATGAGACCAGATTTACTAATGGCCGTTTAAAGGTTAAACTACTCATTTAAGATGTAAAGCATTCACAATTTGAGTGCATGCTGGTTCTTTTAAAAGAGATGGCCCTAAAGTAGTTAAAATATTGGTGCTGTGTTCACAACTTTTCTACATTCGTCAGTTTATGGATTAAAGTCATAGTCATGTTGTAAAAAAGCAGCACAGAAAGCTCCTGCTCACAACATATAGAGAGCAACATATTGAGTTATCACTTTAACTCTTCTCCAGAGTTTGAAATGTGTGACATGTTACTGTGCCCTAAACTTTTCCTTTTTGTGTGTCACCAGTCCAGACCAAGCCAGACTCTGTGAATTGGAGGACCAGTCCAGGGCTTCTAAGAAGGGCTTGTGGAGCGAGGGCGGCGGCGGCACTCAATCTGTTCGCGACCTCAAATACACCATAGAGAATCCCCGCAACTTTGTTGACTCCTTGCACCAGAAACCTATCAACGGTAATGAGTTTGGGAGCGGTGTGCAAACATACACAACGGATGAGAAAGCTTGGCCTAGAAAACTTATAATTTGAAAGCACGTAATACTACATAAGCCTCTATTTTCCCATAAAAGGCCACATTTACAGGCTTTGTTGGCCATTTTGGTTGAAGAAATCCCATTCTAAATATCCACTTCAGGGTAATGGAACACACTATATAACCATCACTGGCTCATTCCTCCAGTCTCTCATCTCTGACCCTAACCCGAGCTGTAATGTGCCCCTCAATTCATTTCCAGCCTACTGCCGTTAAAAATGGCGCAGCTCATTTTACTACCATTTAATTGAGCGGTGGAATGAACAGGGAGATGTTTTTTCCTTCTTTTATTTCTCGTTATTACCATTCATGAGACGATCAGAGTTGTTTTGAAATTGGAAGCAGCAATCCAGCCCAAGAGCTTTAAATGTGTGTTGAGTTGCTTTGGTTGAGAAACAGAATACCAATGTCCCTCTCATCTGCTTATGCAGACACACACTCAGACACATGCACACAAGATATACAAAGGAAGAAAAGCATCGAGAGGCTGAGAGAACCATCATCAAAATACCATTTAGGCATGAATTGCCTTTAACACAATTGACTCATCTTGTCCAATTTCTTTAAGTACTTTAGAGGTCGGGAGCAACAGATGGGCGATATGGTTTTGAAGAAATAAACAACGTTATACCTCCAAAAGCTTTTCATATATATTGACCTTGCCTCAAGCCTTGATATGCTGCATAGTAACATCTTTACAGTGATAATCCAAAAATGCTTTAGTATCAAGCACTCACCTCTGTAGGCTTGAAAGGTGTCTGTAACAACCAACACCAGAGAGATGGTGACTCCTTCTTCCCATAGAGAAATGACTCTAATCAGCCAAAGTTCATGCTTGTTTTTAATAGGAACAAATCGTTATTATTACAAACCGACAGCAGTCATATGAACATTTTTAAGTTCAGTCTTTTTATACCCTGAGGAAGGAAGTGGCAAACCACCATTTTTCCTAAATAAATGAGTATTTCATAAAGATTTTGGTTGTCACTTTCAAGGTGTACAAAGTCTGACAAGTCAATTTTACTGATGAGTAGCAAACAGTTTTCACTGGTGTTAGTTTTGAATTCACCGGAGAGTACATGCTATGACAATCTACCAAGGATAGAAGAAGATTCAAATAAATTCAGATTTCCATTTGACCCGTGAACATGAAATAAAATGAATTGCCTCGGGTAAAGTTTCCTGAAAGTATGAGATATAAAGTGTTTTTCTGAATCTTCCAGTTTTCACATAGCGTTTCCCAAGTATGAAATATTAATTTAAGTATAGGCTCTGAGCAGCCCACAAATAAGCAATTGATTAAAATTGGAGACATCGTACTCTCCCTCTAACGCTGTAACATTCACATCTCGCCCTTCAGCCATCATCGAGCATGTGCGTGACGGCAGCGTTGTTCGTGCCTTGCTGCTCCCCGACTACTACCTGGTCACCGTCATGCTGTCTGGAGTTAAGGTAACCAGCACTCACCTGCACAAACTACAAAATGTAAACTAACGTTTGTCCTGAGACCACAGTTACCATAAATAGATAGATGGATAGATACTTTATTCCTCCTAAATTGGGAAATCGTTTTGTCACGGCAGCAGTGTTGTCAAACATTACACATTAGTGAAAAAGATAGAATAAGATACAAATATAGTAACATTAACAGCAAATATATACAAAATTACAATAGAAAAGACATACTGTATATCACTAGAGTATCTAAGAAATACACAATTGAAAGAAAATACTGAATACATTTGAATAATCTACAATATTCAATTTCACTAGGCAACAGAAATGTATAGAAGTAATAGAAATAGTGAGCAAATGAATAAATAAATACATAAATGGTTTATCATATGTAGTTTCTTCCACACCACTTTCACTTTACTGTCACAAAATATAAAACTCAACTATTTAAAGGTGTGTATAAAAACATATGCTAATAAAAAATACATGTATTTATACAATAATGGCTCATTTGTGCCCAGCTTTTTAATCTGTGTTTGTGCTTCTAGTGTCTTATGCACTAAATATCACCATCAAACTCTTTCACCAAGCCTAGATAACTAATCTTTTCTCATCTCCCACTTAAATATATTTCATCCATTTCAAGATGTTCTTTGTCCCGTGTTTCAAAGGCTTGTCTGCCTCTGGTGTGTTTATATCTGTCTGCTGTTCTGCCACACTGAAAGGACAATACAGATAGCAAGTAGCGCAAGGTGACATCGGTTAAAAGTGGATAACGGTACTTCACAGAAAAAACTGATGGTATCAAAAGAACGTGTGCACAGAGAAGTCTCCTAGAGGCGCTGGTTGACTGCTGGGAAATTCAGTAGAGTACTAAATCAAGGATGTATTTTAGCACTGCTTTCAAAAGATCTATTGACAAAGGCATGATAATTCCTGCATTAATTTGTGTTTTCCTTCTCCCCAGTGTCCCACATTCAAGCGGGAAGCGGATGGTACGGAGTTTACAGAGTCATTTGCAGCAGAAGCCAAATTCTTCACCGAATCCCGACTTCTGCAGAGAGACGTTCAGATCATCCTGGAAAGCTGCCCCAACCAGATCATACTGGGCACCATTATGCACCCGGTAGGACTCTGGAGGCAACGCACGTTTGTGAGAGGCCGTTCAAATTAATGCTTTTCTGTCTCATTAATTATATTTTTTTCCAGAATGGAAACATTACAGAACTCTTACTGAAGGAAGGGTTCGCCCGCTGTGTGGACTGGTCCATGGCCGTCTACACCCAGGGAGCCGATAAACTACGTTCTGCTGAAAAGTATGACACCTTAGGCGTACAAAAGAAAATCGTTCATATCATTATTAAATACAGACGTTGCTTAGAAAGGTGTAGAAACTAATGCAATGACACATCTGGTTCAGGAGATCACTGATTGTTTTATAAGACATAATAAATAAATAAAGCAGTCTCTTGAGGTATTGAATATAATTGTGTCAATGAAATGGTATGCAAATATATTCCACTGCTACTTCAGATCTCCCTCTATTGCTCTACTGCATTGATATGCACCCCCTCTAATCATCACTGTAAGGACTATAGGCTAATCATCTCAGGATGCTCTTTAATGAGCCTTTGTAGCTTTTTCCAGCCAAATGGATAATTGTTATTCGCTCGATTAGCCCTTCATGTCCTATGTATTTCTGGCTGATCTTGAGGACCACCACTGATAATGATTATGTGTTTTTTTTTTTGTTCTTTGCCAGATCTGCTAAAGAGCGCAAGGTCCGCATCTGGAAGGACTACGTGGCACCCACAGCCAACATGGACCAGAAGGACAGGCAGTTTGTCGCCAAGGTGAGGTCCTCAAGTGGCTTTTATATAGGCTGTTTCCTTTGGCCCCTAACATAATGTCTTTCCAATTTGGATCATTTTCCCTCCATCTTTGAAATTCAGGGGGAAAAGAAGCAGTAAGGTATAAAACCCACATTTCCATATCTAAGAAGCTGGAAGTGTGAAATATCTTGGAACCTAATCTTCTTCTTCTAAAGTTGCTGACAATTAATTTTCTGTTTACCCACTCATGGTTTTAGTTACTTAAATATAATGTTGGATGGTTTAATCTATACCAAATAATCATAATTCAAAAGTTTTTCCTTAATGTTTTGTGTCAAAATCTAAATGTATAAAGTAACTAGTAAAATAAATGTATTGGAGTAAAAGTAGTGATAAATGAAATTACTCGGGTGGCGTACAAGTACCTTAATGTGTGCTTAAGTGAAATTGTCCATAGCTTCAGAGCTAAGGCGATGTTTCCTTTGCTTCCATCACTCCATGTTCACTGTCCACTGCAGCATTTCCACTTTTTCTCCCAGGACTGCAGCACAAGCAGAGCAACTTTAAGGCTACTAACAAATAATATCCTCCTGACGCCTCTATTTTCACATCTGGACCCCCCCCCCCTTCTGAATAAGACTAAAAAAATCGCTTCACTCGGATGCTAGGAAGAATGCTTAACAGCAACCTTGAAGCACTCCCCAGTCAAATTAGGGCCAAATCGCTGGCGTATGCTGTAGCAGCAGCACACAACGACCCCCAAAAGCTAAGAAGTGGAGATATTAGCTTTGGAGGTTATTGGCCAGGGCTATGGGGAAGAGAGGTATCCTTAATATCAAGTACACGAGAGGGCACTCCCTCCTAGTTGTCAAGACCCATTAGCTCAAATCAAGTGAGATGGACGGCTTGATACATTTTGGTAATTAAGTTTAAGTGTGAGCTGACGTATTAAAGTGTCCACGTTGTAGCTTTGATATAGTATAGCAACCCTTAAAAAACAGCTTTATCTGTTTCCCTCCGTGTGCATTTTGATGATGACTTCCACTCCTCCTTTTAGTTGATTTATTTTCCCCTAGGATTTCAAAAGTTGAATACCTCCTAAAGTTTATCTTTTGTCTGTGTTTGCTCCCTCAAGACCCTGAACTTTTAAGACCCGGAAAAAATTCATGGCTAGCGCGAGCGTTACATAAAAGGTGTTGCTTTGGAAATCTGCTTACAGAATACATTTGATAAACTGCACACGCCACAAAGAAGGCGCCAAAAGAAACTATGTGCAGGTATCTTTTTTCCTGAGTCAGAAGCAAGAGGCTAGAGAAAGGATAAAACATTTATAGTATCAGTGTGAGCTGCTCTCAGATCTCTCTGAACCCCCTCAATAAGAGAGGTGTGGGCAGTGGTGTGGTGGGGGGGGCGGAGTGAGGGAGTATTTGGTGGTGAGCTCCGGAGGGTGTATGAGAGAGGCACATAGTTAATGCATTTCCAAACATTTGGTCTTTCCAAACATTTGGTCTACCTATGTTGTAAAATGTATTATCTTTTCGATTTACACACGGCATCTATTGCACTCTGTCCGTCCTGGGAGAGGGATCCCTCCTCTGATGCCCTCCTTGAGGTTTCTCCCATGTTCCCCTTTAAACTGTGGGTTTTCTCTGGAAGTGTTTCCTTGTACGATGTGAGGGTCTAAGGACAGAGGGTGTCGTACTGATATTCTGTACAAAGTGTGAAGACCACTGAGACAAATGTAACATTTGTGATATTGGGCTATATAAATAAACATTGATTGAATGAGTTAAGTA